TCAACATGACGCAAATCCTTCTGGTGTAGGAGAAAATGAGGAACCTTCTCCATGTTGCAAAAGCGTAGCGCGATAACACTCAGCTGAAATTTTGGCTTCCAAGAACTTTCCGACAGTACTTGAAGAGAGCTGGATTTTGAGCAAAGTTTCAACACCATTAGGTTTGAGAGGTTGGCGAGTGAACCAAATGAGAAGGAACCTTCAAAGTCGTTATCAAACAACGACAAGTACTCAAGTGATTGAAGGCTACCGAGAGTAGATGGAACCGTCCCAGTTAATTGGTTTGATGAAAGATCAAGAACTCGAAGTCCAGTCAAGCTAGTTAAACATGACGGGAAATGGCCTTTGAGTTGGTTTTGACTGAGATCAAGCTCTTGCATATTCTTCATTTCACATATCCCTGCAATGGCCAAATGCAGAAGTTTTAGTCACTTAATGAAAGTGAATGCACCACTCTTGAAGGAAAAGTTAAAGATTAGTGGAGAACTTGCCTTGCAATTCCATTGAGCTAGAAAATTCATTGCCACTTAGATCCAGAGCTTTCAGCTTTCTTAGGCTAGATAACTCTGCCACAAGAAAAACACACATATAAGGTTAAAGAACTTCAAATACGAATATGATGAGCTCAAGGATTATATAAACCATTCCAACAATGTTGTTTTTAGCCGTTAAATCTGTTAAGTTTTCACTATAGAAAAGAAAGGCAAGCATTTAAAAAAAACACACTTACCATGTATTGGTATGGAGCCGTTAAATCTGTTTCTACTCAGGTCTAGTAATTCCAAGTTTGTCAAATCTTTAAGTTCTGAAAGGGCATCCAACAAATATAAGAATGGTACATACTAAAATGAAAGACATACAAATTTTACAGCAATATAGAGCCAACAAATGATCCATGATCAATAGAAAGGTCATGCTAGATATCGACTTAGTTAAGAGTGGAGAGATACCTTTAACAAGAAAAGAGCCATCTATGCTGTTGGACCTAAGAAACAGAGTTGTGAGTGATGTAGCGGCGTTAACAAAATGAAAGATGCTGCTGTTGAGTTTATTTGAAGACAAATCCAGAATCTCCAACTTTCTTAATTTTCTGAGGCTTTTATAACCTGCAAACAAGAACCTTGTTAACAAAGTATATGAAAATAACATAACTCACTCTGATCAATGTTTATGATATTAATGTGCATGAAAATGGAGATTGTGAGAGAGGAACTCTATGCAAGTGGGAATAGCATGTAAGTGAACGTTTGATGTCATTGCACGGCTCAGCAAGTAAATGCAGAAACAGAGAAAAGCTAATGCACTATATTGACTTTCTTGATCTTAAAAACAATGAACTAAGAACTAGTCCACACATGGAAAAGATCAAAGTGGAAATGCAACAGAAAAATGTTAAAAAGTAATCACTAGGGAAAGCATGGTATACCTTCCACATCATCAAACAAGCCACTGAATCTGAAGTTGGATAAGTTCAGACTTCGAACATCTTCAAAGGGATGCAACAAAGAAAGATTTAGGAGAGAATTATCTTTCAGGCTCAGTCCACCAAAGGCAATATCGGTCACCCGTCCGCTTACACGATTGCACGCAACGCCCTTCCATCGGCAGCAATCACTGGTTGTATCATTGGTCCAAGTAGGGAGAACAGAGTCGGATTGGCCTTCTTCAGTGATTGAAACTATGTATTTCCTGAGCTCGAACAAAGCGTTCCTTTCTTTCTCAATACAACTTTTGTATCCATGTAACTGACCCATCAGTAGCATCACCCATATCAGGTTTCGACCCAAGAACACCTTCCCTTCCATTGCAAATGTGATGAAATAAAAAGAAGAGAAGCAAAACGTATGAAACTCAAACGCAATGTGGGATTAATGAAAACACTTCAAGGCAATGTAGTTATATACAAGTGTCTCCACGTTTATAAGAATTTCTACATCCGTTGAGAACAGAAAAACGTCAAGGTCAACGACATATAATATTGGTTATATTTAGTCTCTATTACGTAAAACACTTAAGATTCATGTGATCACATTCTTTTATTTTGACTGGTTTAGCCTTATAAGTTATACCCTTTGAATCATTCAATGATTTTTGTTCAAATGCCTCCTAATATTTATTTCTCAAACTTATATGATTCAACGAATAAAGTCCTAGCCTTTGAGTCTTTGACAAAAAAGAAAAGTCATGGCCTTTGAATTCTGTTGAACAACCACTAGACTTGAGGAAAGCCCAACGGTGACGGAGTTGATGAGGAGGCTCTCTTGGATCATTTACTCCTGAAAGTCTGAAACAGAGGTTGATCTGAAACGGCGTCGTTTTCTTGATATTAATTACAACGGCGGCGTTTTAGTGGCGTCGTTTTGTCTTCGAAGAAAATCTGTAGTCAACCTCTGTGACTTTTTTTTTTCCCAAGGTGTTCCGTTTTATATATAACAAGCCAACTTACAATACCATCCATTAATGGATCAACCATTCTGGAGAGTCAAGGACTTAGTACAAGAGCCTAAATAAAGCAAACCTAAGATATACTACCCTTGCAGCTTCGAAGAAAACAAATTTATTTTTAACAACTAGACCTAGTGGTCATCCAAATCGAGGAAATAATTTAGTTGTAAAAATGAAATTGTTTTTCTTTTACTAATGAACAAGAGTTTATAAAAAATGAAACTTGTAAGAAAAAATAAGAGTAAGTTACAAGCACTAAACTGTTGATTAACAAAGATAAATTCGAAAAATTAAGTTGCATAAAAATATATTTAAGATTATTTCTAACAATCACATAAGTAAATGGAAATTATATGTATTTATATTCATTTATCTTTGGAATGTGAACTGTTTCTACTATGAAATTGTTTCATGAAGAAATTCACGTTTTACTGTAGATTATGAATTAAACAAACAACCAAACCTGTTCCAAGATATGTTTGATGCATTACTTTTATTCAGAGACAAAAAGATAGTACAGAGGAACCAAACATAAGCGATGTTCTGGTTTTGTGAATCAAAGCAGGAGGTTTGAGAAGAACAACAACACATGGGCACGACAATGAAACAAGCACAAAAGAAGAAACAGTTTGGTACCTGCAGTGTTTTACCATAACAATTTCCTAACCTTGTGGACGAAAGCATCGACGATGTAGAACCAAGCTCTGCTCCAAGGAGAATCAAATGAGAGTGAAGCGAGTAACCCAAGAAGTACTGTTACATAGGTAGCAACAAAAATCCAGTAGAAAGAAACCATGTCGATCATGCTTTCATCAGCTTTCAGTAAATTATCTGGTTCTTGAAAGCCTCTACTGTTGCAGCTTTTGTTGGTTGGTTTCCCAAAAAGAAAAGGATTACCGAGGTAGCTTTGTGTATCGAAGGTGTTAAACTGTCTCCACTGTGGAATGAGTCCTGATAAGTTGTTGAATGAGACATTGAAGACCTCAAGGTTGCTCAACTCTGTTAGTTGTAGCGGGATAGGTCCTTGTAATCTGTTGAAAGAAAGATCAAGGCTTTCCACATTCTTCAGACCTGAAAAGCTTTTTGGTATCACTCCTGATAAGTTGTTGTGAGATAGATTGAGAGCTTGTAGTTTCAGAAGATCTCCAAACTCTACTGGGATCTCACCTCTCAGCTCATTTTTTGAGAGATCCAGTCCAAACAATAATTTGAGATTTCCACCCTTGTAGGCATCATATCTGTGTTTTGTTGCAAACTCAATTTTCGTTTGGGTGCTTAACTCGTAATCGATAGCAAACATGTCTTGTACGAGCAGAGACTTGTAAAATGTAGCGACAGATTCTCCCAAAGAAAAAACGATATAATTATAATCGTATAATGTATCCTCTTTCCCCAAACCAAGTGATGCATTCCTAAGACATGAAGGTATGGATCCATTTAATTTGTTATTGGCAAGATCCAGGAGGTGAATGCTTCTTAGGACACACAACTGGCGAGAAATACGGCCTGTTAAATTATTCCCTCGGAGAAGAAGAATTCTGATGTATTCGTGTTGATGAACTCCGGAATATTCCCAGAAAATCTGTTATTTCTCAGATCAAGCACAATGACATTCTCCCCTAGAAGTGTATTTGGAATAACCCCTGATAAATTATTGTCTTGCAGGAGTAACACTTTTACTGCCCCATATGGCCATATCCAGAATTGGCTTGAGGTATGTTCCCTGATAAAGTGTTTGCAGAAAGGTCCAGTAGTTGAAGACTGGATATGTTGAACAACGATGTAAGTTACTATAGGATATATGAACAAAAGATCTAACCTTTAGCTCTCTGCCAAACAAATCACCATCCACTCAACGGTAAGTCGGTAACTGTATTGCTGATGTGGCATAATACGCCACGTCATAAACAATGGATGTTACCGCCAACACCAAAACGCCATCGTTTCCATTAATTCACTTTATTTTTTGCCTCCGCCAAAAAAAAAACCTACATCCACACGAAACGGTGGCTACCACCGTCGCTGTCCATCTATCGGAGTTAGAAACAGCAATTGGGTCGACCCGGACCTTCTAATGAAGCTAGAACAGCGATTAAGACGTACCGGACCTTCGATTGGGGATGGAAACAGCGATTGGGCGTCAAACAAGTATATTCCGGCGAACCACAGCATGAGGCTTCGATGGTGAGTAATTGAACAAACGCAAAAAACAATACATTATGGATCAAAATGGAAAAAGTGATAATGCATCGCCATTTTTGTGGGAATATGAGAGAGAAGAGGATTTTCTTTGCAATTTTAGCAAGGAGAGGCGTTGCTTTGTAAATAGTATAATATTCTTTCACTAAACAAAATTAATAATATAATACTACTTTTATTCAGAAATAAACATGCAACCTTAAAAAGTCTTCGTCAACCAAAACTATGGAATATTCGTAAGAATATGAATTGAAGAAGAATGATATATATTCGCCCATGAACGGTAATGGAGTAAGAGTGATATAAATAGATTATAAAAAAAACTTTATTATAAATGGACAAGAATCGATAGAGTAGGATAAGAGACAAACAAAGAGAATCAAACAAGCAATCCGATCGATTTACCAGATCGTCATGATTCTTGCAAGTAAGTAAAAGCTTCTTAATTTCAACATTTTTTGTTGTTTTCTGGGTTTGTATGCATGAAATCTTTATGGGTTTCTGATTGTTCTACTTTTCTCCACCTGGGTATTACTTGATTGATTGCTTTCTATTTGCATTAGCTTGTGGTTTTTGTGAAACTTGTCTAATTTACAGTTTCTTCGTAAAAACATTATTATTACCCTTTGAATTTATTCTTCATCCATGAAACTGAATAGCAAATTGAAAAAGAAGTGAATAGGTTGAGAACAAAGAAAGAATCTGGATTTGTTTCATTTTTTACTATACACTAAAAAACTAAAACAAAAAGTTTTGATCTTTTATTGAATCTGGATCTGTTTCTTGTTTCATTGTAAGCTTATAAAAAGTTTTGGGTCTTGAGAGACCAAAGCTTATTTCTCATCATTCTATCTTATTTGGATTTGTTTCCTGTTAAGCTTAACCAAAAAAGTTCGAGTCTTGGTTCTGTTTTTGGCTCTGTTTCTACTAACGTCAATACAAACTGGTTATTGGTGATCTTACAGGATGCTTACCCTTGATTTGGCTATCTCTACTTACTGTGTGTGCTGGGAGGACATTGCACCCTCTCCCTGTTAAAGGACCCAAAAATGTCAAGCTTCAACTTCAGACTTCACGTCCCTATAACATCGCACACAGAGGTTCCAATGGAGAGATCCCAGAAGAAACTACTGCTGCATATTTGGTATACCATTGATCTTTCTTGATCAGTCTTCCTTCTCTTTGATTTGATTATTTGGATTATTACTTGTTCATACATTTCTTGTCTAAAGATGAGAATTAAAGAGCTTGACTCACAGAAATCGCAGAGTAGTTTGTTTGTTGAAGTGGATCTTCTTCCTTGGAACAATTTGTTAAAGCATTTTGTTTTCTCTTATGATAGAAAGCAATTGAAGAAGGTACAGACTTCATAGAAACAGATATCTTATCATCCAAAGATGGTGTGCTTATATGTTTCCATGATTGTATCCTCGACGAAACAACCGATGTTGCAAGCCACAAGGAGTTTGCTGATCGTAAAAGGACATATGATGTGCAAGGATTCAACATCACTGGATTTTTCACTTGTACGGTACCTCAATTCTTCTTCTATTTCCTAGGTCTGAGTCAATGCATGCTGCTGGATTCGGTCTCAGCATTGAGTCATTTTCTCAAAAGATCTCTCGCTCATAATCTCATCCAATAACAGTTAGATAAGCATCTAATAAAGCTTCAAGTTGGTTTATTTGAATTTGGATGGTTTGCTTACAACTGGTTCCTCTTTCATTGCTTGCAGTTGATTTTACTCTCAAAGAACTAAAGAAACTGCGTACAAAACAGCGATATACTTTTCGGGACCAGCAATACAACGGTTAGCTCGCCTTTCTTTCTTGTATTTAGCTGTTGGAAAATATAAAGTAAGAACTGCATAATACAGGACATATCTAACCATGCCCATATCTTGTTTGTATTTCAGGAAAGTACCCTATTATTACATTTGAAGAATTCATTACCATTGCTCGGGATGCTCCAAGAGTTGTTGGGATATATCCTGAGATTAAAAATCCAGTTTTAATGAACCAGCATGTGAGTCACAATCCTCCTACAAGCTTGACTTCTACTCTTATTGAAAACCTTTTTCAATTTGCAGAAAATGATTGGCTTTCATTTCCCTTGAAGGTGAAACCTTTAACCTTTGCTTCTATCACTGTTATATATTTGCAGGTCAAATGGCCTGGCGGTAAGAGATTTGAGGATAAAGTTGTGGAGACACTTAAGAAGTATGGGTATGGAGGCTCATATTTGTCCAAGAAGTGGTTGAAAAAACCATTATTTATTCAGTCATTTGCCCCAACTTCACTCGTGTACATATCAAATTTGACAGACTCGCCGAAAGTCCTTCTAATAGACGATGTTACCATGCCGACGCAAGACACTAATCAGGTCAATGCTCTACTCGTCATATTGTTTTCGATTCTTGAAAGTTCTTTTGCTTCCATCGAAAATGATTGTTAGATCTTTCTCGCAAATCCAAGCAGACATACGCAGAGATCACATCAGATACGTATTTCGACTACATCAAGCAATATGTTGTGGGTATTGGACCATGGAAGGATACAATTATTCCAGTAAATAACAACTATATGCTAGCCCCCACAGATTTGGTCAAAAGAGCTCACGCACATAATCTACAGGTAGGATATAATTCATCCAGGTAGTGATAATCAGTAACACATGCTAATAACTTCTTGACCATGTTCGTTGTGATACAAATTACACAGGTGCACCCATATACGTACAGGAATGAACACGAATACTTACACTTTAACTTTAGCCAAGACCCATATAAGGAATACGACTACTGGATCAATAAGATTGGAGTTGATGGACTCTTCACTGATTTCACAGGCAGCCTCCATAACTTTCAAGAATGGACATCTCCATTACCTGATACCTCCAAGTCTCCACGACAGCTTTTGGGTCAAATTGCCTCATTGGTCCTCCCTTATGCAAAGGCTTAAAGTTCCACATTAACACCTATCAGTAAACCTATTGTTTGCCATTAATTGTATTGAATAAAGTCTTAATGATCATTCTTAAGAAGAACACAGTTGTTAAGAAGCAGAGGAGTCTTAAAGATCAAATCAAAGAAAAAAGACACAACTTTACGAAATCGTAATTGTTTACTTCACAAGATTAAATACAAACGTTAAAAGGACTTTGTAAATCTTGGAGCAAAATTCTATAATACCAAGAAGAAGAAAACAATTTCTCTATCAAACTTAAAGATGGTAAACAAATCAAACACAATCCTCTCAAAGAATGTTTCCATTAGACACAGAAGGTTGTGCAACAAGGGAAGCAAGAGAGCCATTTGGGGTTGCGATTAGAGGCACGTTCCGCTTCTGCTTTAGGAGCTAGTGATTTAGGAGCTTCCTCTTTCTTCAATCCTTCATCTCTTTCAGTATCAGTCGAAATCTTCGGTGTCTCTGGCTGGGAAGGTTTCTCCTGTTTCTTTTGAGGCGTGGAACCTTGTAACCCGCCTTTGTCTGCATTCCCCAATCTACGCAATGAACAACAAAATAATAAAATGAGAAAAGAAACACATGAAACGGAGGTAGATAATCAAGACAAGTTTTTTGTCTTACACTGGAAAAGCGAAAGACTTGAGGCTTAAATCTTCTGAGCGACGAGAAACAGAACGATCCAGTTTATTGGTTTTGGTATTGTTGTTGTCTTTGTTAGCTGCTTCATTAGCCATGATAACCTCTCTTATACTTGCTGCAGCTTTTTGCTCGTCTTCTTTACTTGCGCGGTAAGCTTTATCTGTTTCAGCTGCTTTTTTGCCTATATCCACCGGAGTTTTGGCCTCCGCCAAGCCTCCTCCTTGGTTCACGTTGTGGGGAGGGGATGGTAAAGGAGAAGGCAAAGGAGGAGTTATTGGTGAAGGAGGCTGAGGAAACGTGAGCTCGCCAGATTTGAAGTAATCTCCACCCGTGAAGCTATTGTTACCCATATGGATGCTGAAAAGAGATTCATTGGACATAGTGCTCCATTCTGGAGCTGTAGAGGTTGTTCTGGCGAAAACATGTGAAGGGATTCTGTAAGGAGGTGTATTAGGGCTCGAGGTCGTTGTTGTTGTTGTTGTGTTGTTTGTGGATCTTTCCATGACTTGTGTCGGAGGAGATTGCTCTACATTGTTGTTTAGAATCTGATCAGGTCTTGGTTCGGCTTCTATGGAAGAACAAGAAGAGGAAGAAGAAGAAGAAAGTCTTGAGATTGGATCTTCTGTTTCAGGTTTAGAAGCTAGGTTTTTCGAGCTTTGGTTCGTGGGGTTAAAGAAACTTTGTTCTTTTGATGATTCCATGATTCCAAAACGTATCGTAAGAATCTGTTTCTTGGGTTTTAAGTTTTAACTACTTATTGCCAATATTTTCAATCTGCAACGTAACAACACAAGAATTATAGATTAGATTACATCAAAGAAAAAAACATCAAATACCATTTTACGAAGAGATTTGATTATTAGCCTTACGTTTCAGAAGATTACGATGAAGACGATGAACACAAGCAAGAAGAGATTAATTTTAGTAAATTTCAGAGGATGTTTTTTTTTTGGGTTTTGGAATTTGGAGATTGAGAGTTTAAAGGACATGCACGCGTCAAGGAGTTATTTTTTTCTTACTGAAAATAATAATTAGTGCCCAATTATAATCAACTATTTTTCGCCATTTGCTAAGTAAAGATAAAAAAAGATTGATCATTTTAATCCGGTTTCGGTTTTGATTCAATTCGATTGGTTTAGTATAACCGAATCTAAATAAATAAACGGTCAAGATGATCTAAAATAAATCAACGGACAAGATAAGCGAAACTCTTAGCATAAGCCTCTCAGGGTTTTCACTACTGGCGAGAATTGAAAGACGCTTCCAGAGAGATCATCTCCGTTAAACCCTAGAGATTGGGTACAGTCTCGTCGATTCTTCTTTTTCTTTCTGTTTAAAGTTGTTAATTTCTTTTGCTTTTATGGATTCAATCTTTTATTCCGATGTTTCATTCGTTTGATCCGAAACTAAAATTGTTCTATATTTGTTGATTTTCTGCTCAATTTTTGTTTATGATTCTCTTTTGCAAGCCTAGGAATTTGATTTTGAGTTTAGATTTGTTTATTGATGTTTCATTTCATGGTTCTGATTACTGACTAATGCTATATATGGGGTTTAGTGAGTTGACCTTGTATGCTTTGGTTAAATTTTTCTTAAATTCTCCCTAGGAACTGATGTTTGTTGCTGGAACTAGAAATATTGTAAAATGATATTGTAACGGCATAGATTTTTCGTGTCTGATAATCTTTCGGTCACCATACTTGTAGCAAAACACGAGAACTGATCATGAAGTTTTTATTTTTCTTGTATTGTGTATGATTTATTTGATGAAAGAATGTTTTTTTTCTTGCTTTTATTGACGATTGAATTGGTGGGTCGTACGCATGTGGATTCATGACTTTCATCTTCTGTAACTACCTTTTTCTGAAAAGACTATCTATGTTTTGGTATGTCCTTAATTTGCCTAACCACCAAGTGATTGCTCTTTCATTTGTTTCTAGAATACAGATATACACCAAATGGCTTTCTTAAGTAAAGTTGGAAGGATATTTAGTCAGACCAGCAGCCATGTCACTGCCTCTAGCTCAATGCTACAGAGCATCCGCTGCATGTCTTCATCAAAAATCTTTGTTGGAGGTGACTATGTCTCTAATTCGGCTCTGCCAGAAAATACTCTCTTTATTTTTCCTGTTTTTATCTGCTTGTTTGTCTCAAAATTGTCTATGTTTCTTCAGGTATCTCCTACAGCACTGATGAGTTTGGCTTAAGAGAAGCTTTTAGCAAATATGGAGAAGTTGTTGATGGTAACTAGCTATATCCCTTTTAAGTTATTGCAAAACTCTAGCCTTTGAAGTATTAACTTCCTTTTGCGTCTGAATAATTTTTGTGGTTTTACTCTTGACAGCTGACTAATTTTTATCAATTGCAGCAAAGATTATTGTGGACCGTGAAACAGGCAGATCTAGGGGCTTTGCTTTCGTAACATTTACTTCCACTGAGGAGGCTAGTAATGCCATGCAATTGGATGGACAGGTATCACACAAATGTTCCAACTTGTTTTGATACTAAGATGTTGTGTGCCTTATTTCTTTGTCGTTCCTTTTCTGGCCAATATTGTTTGTTTTTGGATGTTTGACCTTTTTCAAATCGTTGTGCCTTGACGATTCATCTTTCTAGGACACTTAAATTTTTGTCCTTTCAAACGTTGGCAACATAGGTAGGCTAGATGTTTATCATCTAGCTTGAAATACTGTTAATCCGTTAAGCAGCGACTTACTCTCTCTTAATGAAGGGATTAAAGGTGGAGCAATATATCTTTCTGTTTGTGGATTCAATATCTTGTTACAAAATAAAAGCTGTGTGTTCAGACTGTGTCTAGATGATTCAGAAAACGCTGAAATTGAACCTACTTTGCTTGGCATTTTCAATTGGTGTTTATTGGTTTTTTTTTTGCGTATAGGACCTTCATGGTCGAAGAATTAGGGTGAATTATGCAACTGAAAGAGGAAGTGGATTTGGAGGAAGGGGATTCGGGGGTCCTGGTGGTGGTTACGGTGCTTCAGACGGTGGTTATGGTGCTCCAGCTGGTGGTTATGGAGGCGGTTATGGAGGCAACTCTTCGTATGGTGGAAATGCTGGGGGTGGTGGTGGTTATGGCGGTAACTCTTCGTATGGTGGAAATGCTGGGGGTGGTGGTGGTTATGGAGGTAACCCTCCTTATAGTGGCAATGCTGTTGGTGGTGGTGGTGGTTATGGAAGCAATCTTGGCAGTGGTGGCGGATATGGTGTTGTGGGTGGTGTTGGTGGAAGTGACAACTTTGCCCAAGGCAGTTCCTCAAATGCTGGCTTTGATAACAAGTTTGGCAGCAACCAACCATTAGGCAATGATACGGATCATCAGCTTGATAGCGGTTTCGGCGGTGATGAACAATTTGGTGGCAGTGACAATCAATTTGGTGATGCAGAGAACGGTAAAACAGAGAATGGTCCAGATGGGTTTGATCAGACTGACGATGGCGATGTTGCCAAGAGAGCCTAGTCTCCACGATCTTGCGCAGTGTACGTTTGCGTCTTGGAACTTTTGTTTTGTGGTTTCAGTCTAAACTTATGGAAGTTTCTTAATCTCTATTTAACGTTCGAGGTTGTTTATCATGTAGAGACCTCTTTAGTTGGTCGGTTTTCTTTATGTTTTCTAACATTTGAGGCCAATAAATAAAAACTGTAATAACTTTTAACAGAGACGTTGAAGTCAAAGCATGCAGCATTGAACCTGCTAGTTAAATCATCTGAATCAATCCAACTATAAGAGCTATGCAACCAAACTCGAATAAAATGATCAATGTAGACGTTATATCGGAATCACAGATTGATTTTGAGAGAGAATATGAAGATCAAGAAGAAGAAGAGTAAGATCAAACCAGAAAATTTATACACCGGAAAACTCGCCGCCGATTTCGGTTTCGGCTCGTAGGAATTATGTTGTTGATCTCCTGGAGAAGAGTTACCACTGAAAAGGACTAATGAACTGAGGCAATTACAATTTTACCCATAAGATTTTCAGGAAATGTGAAAATAAACTAATATTTTAATTGTTTTCAGTAAATCGTTGCGGTTCACAAATTGGTATTCGTCGCCGGTCACGGCGAATTGGAGAAGCGCAACATTGCATTCATTAAAACCTCATAAACCCTAACAACTCTTGGAAGCTTCGAGAAGATTCAGTCTCTTCTCTCTGCAACGGAAATGGCGACGAAGAGCTCGGATTCGAGCCATGAACAAGCTCCTCTGAGTTATCGTAAGAGCGTCGAAATCAAAGCCACGCATGATCAATTTTTCGGTAAGCGACGAGTCTCTCTTCTTCCGTCTCATCGTTTTCTCTATGGTTTGTTGCGACGGAAATCGTTGTAGATTTGATTTATGTTCATGATTACGCTTAGACGATGAGTTTTTTTAGCGAAATGTTGAGATTTCGTCAGGTGATTGTGATGAAGAACACCTGGATCATGTTTTAGTGTCATTGATTTTTCACTTTCACTGGAATCTGATAGTTGTAAGTCTGGTGAATTAGTCTAACGTCCAACACATTGCTGTAGTGTGGAGAGAGTTCTTATGGGGAGGTATAGCTGGAGCTTTTGGAGAAGGAATGATGCATCCCGTGGATACTCTCAAAACCAGACTTCAGAGTCAAATTATCATGAATGCAACTCAGGTATTATTAACAAAACATCACTTTCGTTGGCCTTTGGCTTAGGAAATATATATATATTAGACCTGATTGTGTACTTACCTTTATTTTTGGAGTATATAATCTCTACTCGTGATTTCAGAGACAAAAGAGTATTCCACAAATGCTCCGAACTGTCTGGGTTGGTGATGGATTAAAAGGTACATCATCCATCTCTTTTCTATTCTTGAGGCATGCATATGTGTAGTTCACTGTCCTACAGCTACTTATCATCTTTGTAAGCAACAGCCTGCCTATTCCATGTTTGTGCTGAGAACTTGGAACAGAAAACTATCTATGATCCGTATTTTTTGTTTATCTTATTTTGTTGCTGACCTTATTTTAGGCTTTTATAGGGGCATTGCTCCTGGAGTCACTGGATCTCTTGCCACTGGAGCAACCTACTTTGGTTTTATTGAGTCCACAAAGAAATGGATTGAAGAGTCTCATCCCAGCTTAGCGGGCCACTGGGCGCATTTTATAGCAGGAGCAGTTGGTATGTTATCTAAGTTTCTCCGCTCTCAGTCATCTGATCTTTGAAATAATGGTAAAGATAGGAGGGGAACATATGTTCGCTCAAGTGGAAATTGATTTAGAATGCCAAGCATGCAGCATAAATGGAACTAGATATAACCTGGCTGAAGATTCAGATATTATCAGACATGTCAATGTTATGTGATGATTCTAACTTACGGATATGGTGGGTCTTGTAAAGATAAGATCCAGGTTATTACGGATATGTGATGATTCTAACTTACGCATTTTAGAGCAAGGTTGCAAGAATTGCTGATTGCTTACTTGAGAATATGTTGCAATATTTATTACTCTATCATGAGACGTCATTGACTGGCCTTGTTGTGAATATCATCATGAAAGATTGTGGCTGCATTTTACATAGACTTCATGAGGGGATTCCCCAAAAAGTTGGAAATGAAAGTAAACCTAGAGTTATCTGAAGTTATAAAGCTTCTGATTCCTTTTGTGTTCTGCTGCTTCTTTCTTTGTTTCAGGCGATACACTTGGTTCTTTCGTATATGTTCCTTGTGAAGTCATAAAGCAGCGAATGCAAATTCAAGGCACTAGTAGCTCCTGGAGCTCTTTTATTTCGAGGAACAGCGTTCCGGTGAAACCAAGAGGTGACATGTATGGTTATTACACTGGAATGTTCCAGGCTGGATGCTCAATATGGAAAGAGCAAGGGCCAAAAGGGCTGTATGCTGGGTATGTAACTTTTGCTCAGGCTATTATTGTGAATTGTGGATAAATCATTCTAATTGTTGACTCGTGTCAAGAGACCCACGTTGTTATTTTCCTTTTTCCTCTGGCAGATATTGGTCTACACTAGCGAGGGACGTGCCTTTTGCTGGTCTTATGGTATGACTATGTCACTATGTAATATGGCACTTCATCTTAGGGTTTTTGTCTCCTCATGATCGCTCTGTTTTTCCATCTCAGGTAGTGTTTTACGAAGCATTAAAGGATCTAACAGATCAGGGAAAGAAAAAGTTTCCACAATATGGAGTCAACAGTTCGATAGAGGGTCTAGTATTGGGAGGATTAGCTGGTGGTACGTTAGAATGAGATCAGTTGTAGAGAATCCGTTTCAAATAGCTCATCCAACATAGTGACCCATGTTTAATTAATGTCTCTCCAGGACTAAGCGCTTATCTCACAACTCCTTTGGATGTTGTAAAAACAAGACTGCAAGTGCAAGGATCAACGATCAAGTATGTCTCATGTTCTCACAGATTCATATGATCATCTAACTAGCATCCCCAAGTAGATTGAAGAACTTGTTTTGATTAAGCTTTGGTAATCTCGTTGAGTTTTAGGTACAAGGGATGGTTGGATGCAGTTGGGCAGATATTGAGGAAGGAAGGTCCAGAAGGGTTTTTCCGGGGAAGCGTCCCAAGGGTCATGTGGTATCTTCCGGCCTCGGCACTCACCTTCATGGCCGTTGAATACCTTAGAGATAATTTCAGAGAGAAAGGTAATAATAATAACAATGTCGTCTCAAATTTGAGCATAGAGAGGAAAACATCTTCTACTTCAGTGCATGAAGGTTAGCGAGAAACTGAGAACTAGTGAGATTCTTGTCTCCAAGTATAAAGAGTGAGGAGCATTCACAAACTTGTCTATAAATGGCTCAACGTTTTGTTTTCTCTTCTAAGATACTGTTAACAACAATCTCTGATCCCTTTTTAATAAGATACAGTGCTTATCTTAAATTTCCGTTTATATTAGCCTGAAGATAAAATTAATGTATTAAGAAAAAAGAAAAATGAAATGAATTATAAGTTTATTGTTCCTATATATACATCTCCAAGGTCAAATCTTAGGACAGCTCGAACTGGGTATGCGTTTAAAATCGACCAAATAGAAATAGCCTAAACCCTAAAAAAACAGAGATGGCGTCTTCGTCTCGCTCGGAGAAACGATGCCACTACGAGGTTCTCGGTATCAGCAAGGAATCTTCGCCGGACGAGATTCGATCCTCTTACCGGCGTTTAGCTTTGCAGCGTCATCCCGACAAGCTTATGAAAGCCGGTGGATTATCTGAGGCTGAAGCCACCGCCCAGTTCCAAGAGCTCGTTCACGCTTACGAGGTTTTATCCGATCCCAAGGAGCGAGCCTGGTATGATTCCCATCGATCTCAGATTCTATTCGCTGACCATAGCTCAGCCGGTGGCTCGAAATCTGGTGGTATGCCTGGCGGCTCTGTTCCGGATCTATTCGCTTTCTTCACTCCCACTGTATATTCTGGATACTCAGATACTGGAAAAGGATTCTACAAGGTGTATTACGATGTGTTTAATAGTGTTTATCTCAACGAGATTAAGTTCGCGAGAACGTTAGGGTTGAGGATGGATTCTGTGAGGGAAGCTCCAATTATGGGGAATCTAGAGAGTCCTTACGCTCAGGTGACGGCGTTTTATAATTACTGGTTAGGTTTTTGCACCGTCATGGATTTCTGCTGGGTGGATGAGTATGATGTGATGGCTGGACCGAATCGAAAGTCGAGAAGGTTGATGGAGGAGGAGAATAAGAAGGTGAGGAAGAAGGCGAAGAGAGAGTATAATGAGACTGTGAGGGGTTTGGCAGAGTTTGTAAAGAAGAGGGATAAGAGAGTGATTGACATGATGGTGAAGAAGAATGCAGAGATGGAGAAGAAGAAAGAGGAGGATAGGGAGAGGAAGAAGAAGATGGAGAAGGAGAGATTGGAGAGAGCTATGAACTATGAGGAGCCTGAATGGGCAAAGGCTCAGGAGGGAGAGGAGGAAGGGGCAGGGTTCAATGTATTGGAAGAGGAGGATGATGATGCGAAGAGGAAGAATGAGCAGCTCTATTGTATTGTTTGTAGCAAGAAGTTCAAAAGTGAGAAGCAGTGGAAAAACCACGAACAGTCGAAGAAGCATAAAGAGAAAGTGGCGGAGTTGAGAGAGTCATTCACTGATTATGAAGAGGAAACAGAGGAGGAAGAGACTGATGGGCCATTGGATCCACCTGAAAGTGTAGAGCAGCTTCATGAGAAGCTTCAGGAGGAGTTAAATATCGACGATGAAGAAAATGATGTTGAGGATGAAGTTGTAGGTGAAGCTGATGAAACTGATGAGGAGTATTTTGTGGCAGAGGAGGATATGAAAGGATCTAGTGAAAGTGAGGATGAGGATGACGAGATGACTCTACTCAAGAAAATGGTATCTGGACAGAAGAAAAAGCGAAAGAATGTCGTATCAAAGGAAGAAGATGAAATCGAAGTCGAGATCGAGAGTGATACAGCAGAGTTTAGCGAAGTTGATTACCAGAAAAACACAGGTAGGAATAAAGAAGCTAAGGAGGAGAGAAATAAACAGAATACTGGAAAAGACATGGCAGATGACACCAGCAAAGTACAGGTACCTGGAGACGACGGTAATCCAGATGAAAACGTGAATGCAACGGACTCAGCCTCCGGAGCATTTGAGGATTCTCAGAAGGATGAGGCAAATTCAATGGAGTATGATAACAGGAAGAGCACAGGCAGGAGGCGCAGAAGCAAAAAGGGGAAGGATAAGAATAACCAGGGAGAATTAATGGAAAAGAGCAGTGAAGCGGATGATACTCCATATGTAAATCGAGACATGGAGGCGCAGGATTACAAGAAGGCTCCCAGATCAAAGAAATCCACCAGAGGAATGAAAACCAAGGTAAAATATTTCTCCCTTTGTAGCATCACTAAATCCCATATTTGGTGTGATATTTCTTGAAATCATATATGTCAAAATGCAGGGCACAACGAAGAAAAACAGTAGTAATGAATGCGATAGATGTGGAGAGGAGTTTGAGTCGAGGTTGGTTCATTAGATATTTGTTCTTTCGTCATCTCTGATCTTCCAGCAGTATTTTCTATCATTCAAATGTTGACCCACCATTTATCTACCATGGGCAGAACAAAACTACACAAGCATTTGGCTGATAGCGGTCATGCGACAGTGAAATCCCGATGATCCATTGCTCATTTTAAAGTGCATCTAAGGATTATGCAGAGAAGAACCAAAGGTTGGCTGGAGATTTGCATTCTTTGATTAAATTTATACATGGACACAAAGAACAAGGGGGATAGATGGCAAATAAGCTGCCTGCGTTTTTGACATTATTGTAGTGCGATTGAATTGATGACCAAACTTTGTATACCACTCCTTGTATGTTTGATGCAATGATTTTGCAGCGAAGAAATCTCTCAAAGGTTAGACTAATATTACGACACTGGTTTCTTTTCTCTTTGTCAAATCCATGTTTGGCATCTCGAAACCTCCCTTTGCTAATCCATGAGTCAATTTCTTGAGCGCAAGTGGGATACAAGATATAAAAGTGAGATTAAACCAAACTTAGTACCAAATGGCACAAGATAGCACAATTGATCGAAGAGAGTAACTCATACTTAATTTCCAGAATTTGAATACAAAGTGAAGGACAAAAAAGCACTCATCAAGTCTCACTAAAAGCACATGATTTGTCGAAAACTTTCAAAGACTGCAAAACACCAAATGCACAACAAAATCGTGCAGATAAAAATTATATTAAGAAAACAGGCTTAACATGAGTCTAACCAGTCCCTTGCATTCTGGAACATCTTCAACCACGGACTCGGCCCAGCTTTCTCAACGTCCCAGCTTGTTGGGTACCATGGAAACTGCCACATCAAGAAACAACGTTCAGGATGAGGCATCATCGCCAAATGTCTCCCATCAGGCGAACAAATAGCCGCTATTCCCAACGGTGAACCATTGAGGTTAAAAGGGTACGCTTCAGTCACGTTCCCATCATCATCACAGTATCTCAATGGTGCCAAATCTGAGTGAAGCATATGGTCCAAGACTCCTTCGTCTGGGAAATAAGCCCGTCCTTCTCCGTGTGCCGCCCAAACCCCTAAAGTGCTTCCCTCCATTCCTTTCAGCATTATCGATGGCGAGTCCTTTATAGTCACGCTTGTGAACCTGCACTCAAACCTTCCTGATTCGTTGTGAACAAACCTCGGCTGCGAGGTGTCAAGTGACCCGCCAACTTGAGGACCTGGAACCCATCCTAACAGAGCCATTAACTGACATCCATTGCAGATTCCAAGACTGAACGTGTCTGGTCTTTTGTAGAACTCCTGAAATTGACTCAACACAGGCTCGTTGAACCTTATTGAAGCAGCCCATCCTTTGGCTGAGTCGAGAACATCCGCATAACTGAACCCTCCCACAAACACAATACCGCGGAACTGGTCAAGGGTGATATCTCCGGCTAGAAGATCAGACACTGTCACGTCCCAAGGTTCAAAACCGGCAGCATAAAATGCAGCTGACATTTCTCTGTCTCCATTGCTGCCTTCCTCTCGGATCACTGCTACTTTTGGCTTAACATCTGAGAGCATATACAATAAACAAACGTTTTCATTAGGAAATATACGCTATATAAATGATTAAAGAAAAAAACACCTCATACAGAGCGATCATACCTTGAGACATATATTTATTGTTGGTCGAGGAAGGAGTAAATGAGAGTTTCCAATTAGGCTCATGTCTAAACTTCAAACCTTCTTTCTCCATCTCTACACAAGATGCCAATCTTTGCAGCTTTTCCAGCTGGAAACTGGTGTCTTCCCACATGTCTCTGAGGAATGAAGTTTTCTCACTCAAATGAGTAATCCCATCCACTTTTACCTCTATCATAGGCGAATCAGTGACATTTCCAATGATCTCAGCAGTAACATTGAAACCACGGAGTTTTTCCATCACAGCGTCTAAGTTTGTCTTACTAATCTCCATCACGAGACCAAGTTCTTCAGAAAACAAAGTCTCAAAAAGGCTAATTCCATTCGAAGCCAAGTCGAGATTTATACCTTTGTTTCCAGCAAAAGCCATTTCCAAAGCTGTTACAACTAGTCCACCATCACTGATGTCGTGTCCAGCAGATACCAAGTTTTCTGCAATGAGAGCTTGAATGCCCTCAAAAACGTTTTTCAGATATGGAACATCATCAAGATCAGGACAGTCGTTTCCAATCTGACCGAAAACCTGAGCCAGTGCAGATCCACCTAATCTCCGCTTTCCCTTTGCCAAATCAACATGCAAGAGAATACCATCATCACCTCCGAGCTTCAGATCCGGAGTCACTGTCTTTGTTATGTCTGGACAGGTAACATAGGCACTAATCACAAGATTTCCTGGAGCTTTAACAACCTCACCGTCGGCATGAGCTGCCATTGAAAGACTGTCTTTTCCACCATCAATTGCAATGCCAAGTTCGATCATTGCTTCAGATAGAGCAATCGCAGCATCATACATCGCTGATCCTTCTCCTTCAAGCTTGGCAGCATACATCCAGTTACCACTGGCTTTAACATCAGAAAGTGCAGTGACCTTTGCCCAAACCAGATTTGTTAAGGCCTCTCCAACAGCTAGTCTAGCCATGGCTTTTGGATCAAGCAAGCCTTTGATCGGTTGCTCGCCAATGGCACATGCACCACCTGTTAGATCTGTGAATGTCTGAGCAATAACTGCAACATCAGCAAGTGTGATCTGCAATGGTCCAACTGTTTGCTGCTGGGCAACAAGACCTGTGACACATCTATCAACTTTGGTTGTCAAGAACCGCTTCGAAGAAACTGATGGTAATCGCAGAACCCTTTTCAAAGAATCCATCAACGTAATCCCAGGAGCAATATCAAGTGGCTCCCGTGCATAAGCAATGCGGTTGAACTCAAACGTCTTCTTAGGCATATCACCAAGAACCTTCTCGAGTTCAAGATCCACAGCAGGTGGAGGTGGAGGTAGCCCTTCTTTACTGCACTTCGCTGCAGCTGTGCTGTCAATTAAAGTACAGCGACCTCCCCCATTAATTGTTCCAATCACAGCCATCGAAAGCCTTTCCCTCTTACAGATCGATTGCAAAATCTCCCGGCTCTCAGCTTTCACCAAAATCGCATCTTGCTCTTGATATTCTGCTCCCCAAATCTCCAACACCGACATAGTATGATCACCCACAACAACCGCTCTTATGTCAATCTCTGCACCCTGTGGATAAATAATCTCTTTGACAACATTGCAGTTTCCACCAGCACCTTGATCATGAATGCTGATAATGGGATTCTTCTCACCCATCTCAATACAAGCACGGACAACACGGTACAACTTCTGGGACATCTCAGCATCTCCACGTTGCACAGCATTGAAATCAAGCTCTGCATCATTCTGACCACTAACCATACTCGAAGCTGCTCCTCCTCCCATACCAATGCGGTAAGCAGGTCCACCAATCTTAACAACAAGCATCCCAACCTCTGGCTCCCCTTTAGTTATATGAGTATGATCAATCTGTCCAATCCCTGCACTGAACATAATCGGCTTCAACCATTCTCGTCTATCCCCACTTGGCAGTCTCATTCCAAAAGTCCTGGTATATCCCTGAATCATGGGCTCTCCGAATTTGTTCCCATAGTCAGATGCACCATTACTAGCGTCGATGAGTATCTGTAGAGGTGAGGCTAGGTTTGATGGGTATTGGAAAGACGAGTCTTCCCATGGAGCATAAGATCCCTCCATGTTAAGGTTACCAACACAGTAACCAGAAGTGGATGCAACCACAAAAGAACCTCTTCCTGTTGCATGTGTATCCCTGATTCGACCTCCAGCACCTGTCTCAGCACCAGGATAAGGAGCCACAGCACAAGGGAAATTATGGGTCTCAGCAGTAAACAATATGTCGAGATCACGTGCACTGACATCAAGTAGGCACACAGAACCAGGAAGTAGAGGCCGTAGCTGGTTCACCAGAAAGCCTCTAATAGCACTAGAGTTATCCTTAAACCCAATGACAGAGTTATTTCGATTTGCCTGCAAAGTTCAACACAGAAGATAAGAGTGAATTATATGAACAAAACTTTCAAACTGTAGGAAAGGAGAGAAATTTTGACTAAAGCCCTACCTCCCAAGTGCTCTTTACAATCTGCATAAGAGACCTATCCATTGGCTTTCCATCAATAACCATGTTCCCAGCAAAGAACCAGTGTCGACTGTGCTCGCTGTTGGATTGGGCGATATCAAATAGCTCCACATTGGTAGGATCACGCTGAATGTCCTCTCTGAAAAGTCTAGTATAATATTGCAAATCTTGCTCGTCAAAGGCTAAACCCATCTCCTGGTTGATTTCTTCCAGCGCCTTCCGACCCTTCTCCATCACAGGTACATACTTCACTTCCTCCGGAACCACATTTGTCTCAAATGAAATAAGTTTCTGAGCGTACACGCACTCAGTCATTCTATCATGAACCATTGCAGCAAATTCCTTAATCCGATTTTCCAACAGTGGCTCCTTGCTGAACAAAAGATACCTCCTCGACCTTTCTAAGCGAGTCACCTCGTTTAACCCACATGCTCTACATATCGAAACAGCATTGGTGGACCATGCTGTTGTGAAAGACAATCTGGGACCAACTTCAACAATTACAGCATGGAGTCCTTCTTGCTTCTTCTTCTCAAGAAAACTATCCGTACCTGAAATTTAACTCAGTCATCAATAACAGAGAGGCCTAAGAAAATTGTAATCATATCAAAATATAGCATGACATTTAACAGTACCTAAATTCTCTGGCTCATATGTTTCTTGAAGAATCCACTTCAGAACAGAAAGCTTTTCGTCTTTTAACTTCGATTCAAGCCCAATATTGAAACACTGTTCTGTGGTCAAACTGACAATCTGGTTGCTGATTTTGGTTTGAACCGCCTTGAGGAGTTCCGCGTTCGCGCTATCTTGAATCAAAGGCACGCGATAGAAATGGATAACCTCAGCAGCAGGTTTCTCAACCAAGCTCGGTAGCTCATCAGCAGAAACAAAAGAACCAGTAGAAACAGCTGCTTTAGGGTTATTAGGTTGAGCAGAACATCTCAAGCTAACAGCTTTAGTTCGATTCAGAGACAGCCGTGAAGTTCTCATTCCAACAGAACCCCACAATTGACTGGTTGAGCTTCTCTGGCATCTCTGCAAAAGCATTGCTTGTCTATTCGAACCCTGCAAAAAAAAACAAAAAACACTAACTTGTTAAAACGAAAACATTACAGATGCCAAATAATATGAAGTTTCGATGAAATTAGAGTCCTAAATTATTGCATTCAACTCCCTCCGTTTTACTTAACAACATCAACAGAACTTCAAATTCTCAATATAAGTTACTTTTCGAAATCATCTTTAATAATCAATCTACGAAAAGTTTAAGCAACAGAACGAGAGAAATTAAGTTCATAAATCAATCGACACAAAACTTGGACCACTGAAAATAATATCAGTAAGAGAATATTTACGTTTAGGAACAGAGCCGCACGAGTTGCTTGGGAGGTATTCATCGTCGCGAGAGATGACCGGAACAGCAAACAAAGTGAAAAAGGGGTTTAGGGTTTTTCTATGTTACTGTCTTAACGGGACCGAAGCTCCGACTCCGAGAGTACGGCAGTCGACACACAGTTCTTGTCTGGTCTTTCCTCTCAACGAATCTTAGGTTTGTTGGTATTTTTTTGTTTACATGAGAACATAATTCTGATTATTTTTTAAAGTTGAGCCTAGCTAAGCCCAATAAAAGTTTAACGGGCCTATATCACAAATCGAGTCTCAAATGTTTTCATTTTCATTTACATCAGCTAATGTTTTTTCTGGGAGTGATTTTTGACTTTGGGACTTCAACAATAAACATATGCGAAGGAAAATTATCTGTTTTAAAATGTTTGTTTCTAAGAGATAATTATGTTCTAATAGTGACTTGAAAAAATGTTGCAAGAGTTACTATAAACCTCATCTGTTTTTTGTAATTGTTAGGAGTAGTATTGAGTCTTAGATGAGGTTTATAGTATTACATGAAGTTTACAAAAAAAACCAGTAACAATTACTTTTATCAATTGCTTTCCTACGCCGTTCTGTATCTTAATCCATGAAACGATTAAGCTATCAGAGAGTAATATTCATCCGTTTTGAGTCAGTATAAGGGGAAAAAGGATGGATTCTAATTTGTGATGAAAAACCAGATCCATGATCAAAGTCAATTTAGAGAATCTCCAAACACTTCAAACAAAGGAAGGAAATGCTTTCAATATCAAAATACAAAATAACAAACTAGTGAACAAAACCAAGGCGGCTAAATTATAAGTTTAAGCCATTTTTGCATTGCTTCATATGTTACTCGGATACATGAAGACTCTCACCCTGCTTCCCTGCAAGAAAATAAGGAATAGTATCTTGTTAAAAACCCAAGCAAAAGATTTCACTTCTAAACAGAGAAGATGATGAATGGTTAAAGAGTCTGTTTAAGTACCATGGACTTAGGAGGCAAGTTGGATGTGAATTTCGCACGGACAACACCGCTGTTACCGTGAGGCCTGGTAACCTTTCCCCAGATGCAGCGGTAGTGGCTACCGTTCTTCTTTGTCTTAGCCTTGTAGATGTACGCCATCCTCTTTCCCTTGTACCAGTTTACCTCCTCCTGAGTGTTAACTCCTTCGATCTGGACGAGGGACGTGTTGGGATACTGGTTCGACTTTGACCTGCGCATTGAAGTAAATGTCAGACCAAAGTCAGTATCAAATTGTTAAGAATCGGTTTCAGCATGACAAGGTTATTTAAGCAGAACTCAGGTAACAATAATGTTTATTAAAAGAAATACAAAGCAGCTCAAAAATGTAGACAACTAAACAAGAGTCTAAAATGATTCCATTGAGTGGAAGTATGTGATCATAAGTGGACAAGAAGCTTCGTATTTAGTATTCGATTCTATCAGATTGGCTTACATAAAATACTAATCAAGGCTCATTACATGTAATCTTATTGGCGTCAAATCAGAAACTATAAGCAGTATAAAATGGATACCCAAAGAGATAAAGAAATGAGTCACCTTTTGTATCCGAGGATGGTTCCTCTCACGTAGAGTCTGCAAAATTTGATAACATAAAAAGAATCAGACTTTCGAATTATTAATCATTGAACAATGACAAAATTACTAGACCATGAAGAATCAGCTCAAATCTATACAATACAAAGGTAGCAAAACAGCTTCAGAAGTGAGGCACAGAACCACAGAGCAAATTTCAAATGGTAACAAAGAAAACCAAGCTTAGTGATAGATCAAGCTCGAAGAAGAATAAAGAGAGAATTAGAAGAGAGAGACCTGACTCGTTCTCCTTGGCGTCCCTTCACCATTTTCGATTCCGCCGAATATCCAAAGTCTGCTGCTACTCAAAGGGAGAAAACGAAGAAGAAACCCTAATTCATCATTTAGGTTTTATATATTGCTCCCCCCTTGTTCCCTTTGATTTAATATGGGCTTATGGGCCTTAAGCCTCGGGCCATTAATATAGTGAAACAAAACATAAATGGGCTTCTCCATTTTTAGTTCGAAAAACACGATTCTGTTGTAATAATTCTTGAACAGTTAACTCTCTCTTTCAAGAATCGTGGCCGTTGACCGCCGTGCCTCTCCGATCATCTTCCCGTTGGTGAAATGGCGAATGGTTCAGCAAGGAAAAGCTCACTAAAGCCTTCGTCTCGAAAGAGTTTTCTTCTTCCCTCAAGTGTGATCATCATTGTTGGGATAATCTTGGCGTTGACTTATCAGTCAATCTTGAAACCTCCTCCGCCAAAGCTATGTGGCTCTCCCGGTAATCCACCGATCACAGCACCGCGTATAAAGCTGCGTGATGGGAGACATTTGGCCTACAAAGAGCATGGACTTCCAAGAGAGAAAGCTAACCACAAAATAGTCTTCATTCATGGATCCGATAGTTGTAGACACGATGCTGTTTTCGCCACTCTTCTTTCTCCGGTACGTTCATACAAATTTCTTGAATTAAGGTTCATAACAATTTCTTGATCTTTGTCAAAACAAAAAAAAAAAACACAATTTCTTGATCAAGTTTCATTTTATAGGATTTAGTTCAAGAACTAGGCGTGTATATGGTTTCATTTGATAAACCGGGTTATGGAGTGATCCGGATCCAAACCGTACACCAAAAAGCATGGTTTTGGATATTGAAGAGCTCGCTGATCAACTGAGTCTAGGATCGAGGTTCTACGTGATTGGGAAATCAATGGGAGGACAAGCGGCGTGGGGATGCCTTAAGTACATCCCTCACCGGTTAGCCGGAGTAACACTAGTTGCTCCGGTGGTTAACTATTATTGGAGGAACTTACCTTTGAACGTTTCAACTCAAGGATTTAAGTTGCAACAAAAGAGAGATCAATGGGCGGTTCGTGTTGCTCACTATGCTCCTTGGCTTATTTACTGGTGGAACACACAAAACTGGTTCCCAGGTTCGAGTGTTGCAAACCGAGATGGCGGTATCTTGTCACAGCCGGATAAAGATATCATTTTGAACATGGGATCTTCGAGGAAACCGCATTTGGCAGAAGTTAGGCAGCAAGGAATACATGAGAGTATTAACCGTGACATGATTGTGGGTTTTGGGAATTGGGAATTTGATCCTATAGACCTCGAGAATCCGTTTCTAAACAAAGAAGGTTCTGTTCATTTGTGGCAAGGAGATGAGGACATGTTAGTGCCTGTGACGCTGCAACGTTACATTGCACATAAGCTTCCTTGGCTTCACTATCATGAGGTTCCGGGAAGTGGCCACTTCTTCCCCTTCGCTAAAGGTGTGGTTGATGAGATTGTTAAGACAGCTCTGATGCAGAGCATTAACTAAGATAAGATCACAAAGGTCAAAAAAAAGCCCAAAAGATTATGGGTACAATAGATTTCTTATGTAAAATGGTTTACATATACGAAAACATAATAAAAGTAGACTTTTTTACAGTTCCACACCATTATAGTCTACCAAAACAGAGCATGAGTCTCATCGGACTCTAAAAGCTTAAATCACAAACACAACACCTCAAAAGAACTCTTAAACGTTGGAGACCCTAAAGGTCAAGACTTTTAATCCTCGACCATTTCCTCATCATCATCTATTTCCTCGATCCTCATCTTTTTCACTGCCTGAGCTGCATCACTTCTCTTTGTCCCGTTAGCAATATGAATCAGCACATCTGACTTCTTCCCTGTTGAAGCGTCCACTAGACCTCCACTTTCTACGCGGTACACAAGATCAGATCCATTAGCGCCTGCATCTATGTAAACAGTTGAGTTTTCATCAATTTCCTCACGCACAACCATCTTTGACAGCTCTGTCACCACCTTCTTCTCCATCCATCTCCTTATAGGCCTGGCTCCGTACACCTAACCAACAAAACAAGAAAGTAATCACACGAGTCAGTCAACAGAACAAACCAACCTGAGAGAGCAACAACGATATGCATTCTGCATCATGCGAAGAGACTTACCGGGTCATAACTCTCTGCCAAAATATAGTCCAAAGCAGCATCAGTGACTGCCAAAGCAACTCCTCTTTCGGCAAGCCGGACAGCAACATCTTTCATTTGAAGCCGGGCTACTTTCCTCAACTGGTCATGTGAAAGGGGATCGAACACCACAATCTCGTCAAGCCTGTTCAAGAGCTCTGGTCTGAAGTGCTTCCTCACCTCCCGCATCACACATTCCCGAGCCACTTCCATTGTTACTTTCCCAGTTAGCCCTGAAAGGAGGTGCTCGGCACCAAGGTTTGATGTCATGATTATCACCGAGTTCCTGAAATCGACTGTCCTGCCTTGCCCGTCTGTCAATCGACCGTCATCCAAGACTTGGAGCAGAGTGTTGAAGACAGCAACATGAGCCTTCTCCACTTCATCAAAGAGTATGACACAATAGGGTCGCCTCCTCACAGCCTCAGTTAGTTGTCCACCTTCCTCGTGACCAACATACCTGAGAAAGTGTAATCATGTAAGTGACAAAGACGAACTTCATAATTTAAACATCTTGAAAAGTAAAGTATAAGTTACTTACCCAGGTGGTGCCCCAATGAGGCGAGAAACAGAGTGTTGTTCCATATATTCCGACATATCAATCCGAACTAAGAGGTTCTCATCATCAAACAGCTGCTCAGCAAGAGCCTTGGCGAGCTCAGTTTTGCCAACACCAGTTGGTCCAAGGAATAAGAATGATCCAGTTGGCTGTTGTGGCCTTCCAAGTCCTGCCCTTGACCTTAGAATTGCCTCAGAAACTGCATTTACCGCTTGATTCTGTCCCACAACCCTCTTGTGCAACCTATCAGCAAGACCAATCAACCTCTCCTTCTCATTTTGGCCGAGTCTCGTCACTGGAATCCCCGTCCAACGGCTCACAACCTCAGCAATGTGTTCAGGCCCAACGTTTTCTGTGAGCATCACATTCTCTTCAGAAGAAGTTCCTTCAAGTTGGGCAATTGCAGATTCCACTTCTTGAATTGCCCCATATCTTAGATCAGCAGCTCTTGCAAGGTCATATCTTCGTTCTGCCTCCTGCAAAGAAAACATGAGCTCTTCCCTTTTCTGTTTAAGCCTTCGAATTTCATCAATTCTCTCTTTCTCCTTTCTGTATTTCATGGTGAGAGGCTGAAGCTTGTCTCTCAGGTCATCAAGCTCTTTCCGCACCTACAAATTCATAGTTTGAGAAAACTATATCAAAGACTCATCCCAAAAGAAGATGCTACCAATCAAGAATTTTCCAGAACAAGTATCTACTGAAGAGAGAAGAAAGCTGTATCATACCTCTATAAGTCGAGCTTTGCTGGCTTTATCCTTCTCCCTTTCCAAGGCGTGAAGTTCAATTTCCAGCTGCATCCTCTTCCTTTCAAGGTTATCAATCTCTTCAGGTTGACTATCAAGCTGGACTCTCACATTCGCACAAGCCTCATCAACCAAATCAATCGCTTTATCCGGTAAATGCCGACCTAAATAACCGCACAATTATGTTATGCAAAGAACAAGACTATAAGAAACCATAAACTTCAGCATAGGATTAAGAATCTCAACATACCAGTTATGTAACGAGCAGACAGCTGAGCAGCATTTATAAGAGCCCTGTCTTGGATTCGCACACCATGATGTCCCTCATACTTCTCTTTGAGCCCTCTAAGAATGCTAATAGTGTCAGGCACACTTGGCTCAGCAACATAGACTTGTTGGAACCTCCTCTCGAAGGCAGCATCTTTCTCAACATATTTCCTATACTCTTCCAGTGTTGTAGCACCAATGCATCGAAGCTGACCCCTAGCTAACATGGGCTTGAACAGATTAGCTGCATCCATCGACCCTTCAGTTTTGCCAGCACCAAGAACCAAGTGAATCTCATCAATAAAGAGAATCACTTTGCCTTCAGCTTCTTCAACTTCTTTCAAAACAGCTTTCAACCTTTCTTCAAACTCTCCTCTATACTTAGCACCAGCAACTAATGCACCCATGTCCAAAGAAATCAATCTCACATCAGTAAGACTGTTGGGCACATCTCCTTTCACAATCCTTTGCGCTAAACCTTCAACCACAGCTGTTTTACCAACTCCTGGCTCTCCAATAAGCACTGGATTGTTCTTTGTTCTCCTCGAAAGAATCCTCACAACTCTTCTAATCTCCTCATCCCGACCAATCACAGGATCAAGCTTCCCTGCTTGCTCAACCAAATCTCTTCCATAAGTCTTCAAAGCTTGAAAATTTGTATCCCCTGAAGCACTCTCCACCTTCTTCCCTTCTTTCCCACGAAGCTTCTCAACCTCAGACTTTACCCTCGCGGTTGCAACACCAACTTCATTCAACAAATCCCTGATTTGAGAATCTTCAAGAAGACCCATAATCAACTGATCAACAGCCAAATGAGTATCACCGCGTGACTTCTGAGCAGCTTGAGCACGGCGTATGACCTTGATAAGGCTTGAACTCGCTGGAATATCATCAGGTGGAGGAGATTGTGAAGGAAGCTTCTTCAAGGCTTGATTGATCACTCTTTCAGCAGATTGTGCTGCGTTCTCGCCACCGGCACTAGATATTGCTTGAGGGAATATACCAGTGGGATCAGAGATCAAAGCACCCGCCAAATGCAGAGGAGTGAATTGAGCATGTCCTGCATTCACAGCTAACTCATGAGCTGTAGCAATTGTCTCGTTTGTCTTGTGTGTGAATTTCTCTGGATTCATCTTCGAATCAGCCTTTAAAATCCCTGAAAAACATAGAAATAAAACCCTAATCTCAGCAACTTTCATACACAATCGACAAAACCCACAAAACGAATCTCGAAGAAAACATAAACCCAGAAAGAAGAAGAATGTTGCGCTCAGTTACCTTAAACGATATGAGAACTGGGTTTGTTTCGCAGAGTTTCTTCAATGAATCAGACGACTTCTTCTTCTTCTTCTCAGTAACAAGTCTCTCTCTTTTTGCAGAGAATCAAGCAGATTGTAGCGATAATGTTGTAAAATTGAAACCTTTAGATGTTTGGAAACTTTGTGAATTGCGAGAGAGCGAGGAGGAGGCATGAGTGCTTTTGTATATGGAAGGAGATTCATCTGGAAAGATAGAGAACTCTCGTCTTTTTTTCCCATAGAACTAGAAGCTACCAGAGAATTCGAGAGAGCGTGAGAGAGAAACAAATGTCAATTCTACTCTTGGTGATACGACAGGTAGATGCCACGTGGAATTTCCTTTCTTTTTATTGACACCGTAGAATTTCCTTTTTTATGGTTCTCTCCTGGCTTTATATATTTGTAAAGCTTCAAAATAACAACAACAAAAATTAATTTCTCCTCTTTTGCAACATTATTTAATTTTAGAAGAATGCTAAACTAGTAGAAATTAAAATTATAAATCTAATTAATGGAAACAGAAGCTGGCTAATTGTCTATTGATGCCACATCCCATAGGTTTTACGTCTAAAATATCGAAAACCCACAAATAGAGAAAAATTATTTGGACCTTCTGAAAATAGTTGTCGTACAAATGGAGCCTTGTATAAATTTAAGGAGTCAAATGAAAATATTTTCAGAAATTTAATAGTATATGTTATTTAACAAATAGTCCTTCATTTCCTCCTCCATTTTCTTTTTTCACAAGATCTTGTCTTGATCATATCCTCTGCTCTTCCTCGATCTGCGCAACGTTCTCTCTATTACTTCAAACTCCATAATAATCATCTCTCGATTAACTCCTCTTCGTCAATTTTCCCTCAGACCAATCTTCCTTTCGCATCCATCGTGTGATCTTTGTTTAAAAACGTAAGCTTTCTTCCTTTTTTTCCAAGGCTTGTGTTTTGTGTCAATCTCAAAGTAGATCGTCCTGTGGAGGAGCTAAGTATAAAGATTGCTCTCATTCTATTGTAAAAACTTTCTCTAGATTAGTTAGGATAGAATCGTATAGTTTTAGGGTGAAATTCAGAATTTTTAGGAAACTGAAGCCTATAGGATTGTTGCATTGAGGTGATCGTATAAAACCCAAATTTTGTTTTGTTGGCATTGTGTGACTCTTAAACCCTCCCCTTGATTGAAAAAAACATAGCTTTGTTAGAAGTATTTGTTAAAAGTACCTGTTTTTATCTTGTACAGAGAGATTTATCTGTGTGTGGCAATCAAATGACAATGGGTGGTACTGAAAAGGATGTAGAGAATAAACAATATCGTTTGCCTCGAGAAGTCAAGGAAGCTTTACAAGCAATAGCATCAGAGTGGGAAGATGTGATTGATTCAAAGGCTCTGCAAGTTATTCCTTTAAAAGGTGCAATGACTAATGAGGTCTTTCAGATCAAATGGCCAACTAGGGAAAAAGGTCCTTCTCGTAAGGTTTTGGTTAGGATTTATGGTGAAGGTGTTGAAATTTTCTTTGATCGTGAGGATGAGATCAGGACATTTGAGTTTATGTCAAAGCATGGTCATGGACCTTTGTTGTTAGGACGGTTTGGCAATGGTCGTATCGAGGAGTTCCTCCATGCACGGGTAATTATTTATACTTTAGCTTATTCTTGAAATGCCCTGTGTTCCTAAGTTATTGATTATCTTTGCATTTCCCCGGTTTTTAGTTCGTAGGTAGTTCTTATTTGTCTTTCTACATTCTTGTTTACTGAGTTTGTAACTTGTTTGCTGAACTATGAACTTTCAGACCTTATCTGCTTGTGACTTGCGTGATCCTGAAATATCTGGTCGAATAGCAACTAGGATGAAGGAGTTTCACGGTCTTGAAATGCCTGGTGTGAAGAAGGCTTTACTTTGGGACAGATTACGGTACATTTCATTGTTCTCTGCTAGATTCTACTTTGCTTTTCTAATCAATCATTAAAATTTTGGTCTTTTTGAATTTGTTCCTCCACTTTGTTTCTTGCAACTTCAGAAATTGGCTCACTGCATGCAAGAGACTGGCTTCACCAGAAGAAGCTAAGTCTTTTCGTCTCGATGTTATGGAGATGGAAATTAATTTACTTGAGAAATCTCTCTTTAACAATGATGAAAATATTGGATTTTGCCACAACGATTTACAGTATGGAAACATAATGATGGATGAAGAAACCAAAGCAATAACCATCATTGTAAGGTTTCATAAATTTGTTTGCTCAGTTCTCTTTTTTTCCAGTGCCGTTACTAAAATATGGATCCTAACTCGATTTTGTTATTATTTTGTCTTACAAAAATTAGGATTATGAATATTCATGCTACAATCCTGTGGCTTATGACATAGCCAATCACTTCTGTGAGATGGCTGCCGATTACCACACTGAAACACCTCATATCATGGATTATAGTAAATACCCTAGTAAGTGTCTGTTTCAAGTCATCTTTCTTTATCTTTGAAGTGATAGAAGCTCAATCATATATGATAATGTTAGGTGTGGAGGAACGACAAAGATTTCTGAAAACATATATGAGTTATTCAGGTGATTATTTTATCACACTTTCTCGCTATGAGCTTCAGCAATAAATCACTGTACGGCCATAATTCTTTATTGTATTTGTTCTTGTGAGTCCAGGTGAAGAGCCCAGCTATACTATGGTCGAAAAACTCCTAGAAGACGTTGAGAAATATACACTTGCTAGTCATCTAACTTGGGGTTTATGGGGAATTATATCGGTAATTTCTACAATAATCTTCTATCATACCTGCATATTGTGAATCCATGTATAGATTCTTGATTTTCATTTTGTAAAACTTCACAGGAACATGTAAATGAGATCGACTTCGACTACATGGAGTACGCAAGACAAAGGTTTGAGCAGTATTGGTTAACAAAGCCGAGGCTCCTTGAGGCTTCCGAACACAAGTAATTTCTATGGACCCAATCCAAGAAGAGCATTTTTACGGTGGTAAAGAGGTATATACACATAAAAAGGTGCTAAATACAGTGATATTTACCAACTTCAAAAAATAAGAAAATGTATCGTTTTCTGTTTTACCTTTTTACAAGGCAAAATGTAATGGTCAGTAGTTTGTATAATCAACAGTTGAATTTGTTTCAGATGAAATGTAGTTCTCACAAATTGAATCACATTTATCTTTTCTTCGCCTATGCACTGCGTATTTTTCCCATCGTTTTTATTTGTTTAGAAAATGAAGGTACACTTAACTTGACCCTCTTGGGGTCATCTTAGTTGGTTCACTTCTCAGTAAACTACAGATCAGCATCATGAAAAAGAAGATGGTCCAAACTTTGTAATATACAATTGTATACCTTATAACATAAACCTGTTGTTGTACAACTGTACTCGAAAGAAAGCATAAAGCTGTCTAAATATATGCCAATAGATAAAATATTCTAGGAACTGAGCTCTATACATTATTGCCTCTGAATGTGTATAGGCTCTCAAAAACTGTACCTCCATACTATAACTTAAGAATAAATCAATACATAATTAACAACAAAAGAATGCTTCATGGCCTTTTCTCCATCTTGTTTGATAATCACAGGTCTTGACGATATAAACATAATTTCACAAGAGTTTCTGGAGCTCTTTTCTCCATCTCCTTGTGAGGCTTGTGATTACAGTCACTTCCCCTGTTTCTTATCTGCAAAACAACACACTTGTTCATGTTTCAGATTTTCTAACTCAATACCTAAAAACAAAATCATAAAGGCTGAATCCAAAACCACTGGATAAGTTACAATTCAGTTGAGAAAAGCAAAATCTTTTTTGTTTTTCTTGTAATTTGTTGAGAAAGATGAATTCATTTACACTCAATCAGTTTACCTATTGGGGCAAAGAAAAATCGCAAGTCTTATTTGTAAAGAGGAACCAAGACACAATGAAGGATATAGTCAGCTAAAGTTTTCCTAATTTACCTTTCTGGAACCACGGTTTTCGAATTAGCTTGCGGATGTTGCGTTCATGGCGTTCCAATAGTTCATCAACTCCATAAGATTGAGATAACAAAGGGCCCGAGAATTCGATCTTGTCCCCATCACCCTGTCATGTCAAGGCTTAAGTTATCAGTATCATTGAGCATGCTTGTCACTAAACCCAAAAAGGGGACAAACTAAATCATGCCTACTTTTTCCTCTCTCCTCTTAACTTTAGGTGAAAGCGTGGAGAGAGAGAGGATAAAAAAAAAACTTAAACAGCTGAGGAAACATAATCTGACTACCAACGGTAATCTGGTCCTCTCTTTCTACTTTTTGAGCTGTATATCCCATTTACACCGTATCTTATAGTATGTATGTTGTATATAATGGTTCCTGAAATCTCCGAAATCACTTAGATATATAACTATTACAGCACTACTGCAATCATATCTTTAGAATTACTTTCATTTTATTTCACAATTTGACACTCGCATTACAGCATAAGAAAGAATGAAGCCAAATCCTAAGTTTCACATGTAAGAACGTCTGGCACAAATCATACTTGGTCTCTACTATGTCTGTCAATAGCACTAAACTGCAATGGAAGCAATGCATATAACAATCTGCTATATGGAATTTGGATATTAAATAAACTAGAAGAGTGCTTTTAGAGCTTCTATAATCTATGGACGTACCAAATTATTACCCAGCTTTTTTGCCATTTCATCTCTTTGATAGAGTCCCAATGACAGTTCCTGCGAGTGATACTCGTCAGATGTACCAAAGGAATCTGGACGTTCAAGTTGTCTCCACTGCTTCAGCATAGAACGCTTCACCATCTCATATGACTCCTGGCCTCGAGAATCTGTCTTGTCCTCGTTTTCATTCTTATTTATCTTGAATGCGGGGGAATGTCCTGACAAGTTAGGAATGTGACCTCTTGAGAGAGATCGATTATGTACCCTAACACATACGTCATCTTTTTCTCGTTTCGCCCAAGCAAAACTGTTTGATTTAGAGACTTGTAACGGCCCTGAGAAAGGCACATCTCCTTGTGATGCATGCTTCACATGGGAAGCTTCGTCTTTCTTGTGACCTAATGGGTTTTGCAGTTTCCCACATAACCTGGCATCACTTTCAATCGAATTATGAACTAAATGACCAATTCGTTTCTGAAAAGTTTCAGTTTGATGTCTTGCATCCTGCAAACAGAAAAAGAGGGTACATTTCAGTTTCTTGAACGAGGAATTATACTCTCAAGGTACAGGTAACATGTAAAAAAGTGAGTAAGTAGGAAGTACCTCAACTGGTGCCAATCTGTTGAATGAATGGGCCTTCCTTGATGGCTTCCTCGCATCTATACCACGTCTCCCATTACCGCTAATTTTTTTCCTGAAAATCGGACATGGAATATGCGGATGTTACAAATGCTTCCAAGACCTGACATATAAGGCCAACCAAAATGGTAGACTAGGTAATTTCCCAGTGCTGTGGAACAGTAGATTGTGTTTCAAGCTTTATTTTCTTCTGATTAAAGAGATGATATAATCATGAAAATAAATTTTCTCTATCAGGTAATGAAAGAAATTACTGACCTCGCTGCTTCGTCCCGATGCTTTGTATCTATCTCCTTGCTAGGTGGGTATATTGGCAAGCTTGAGGGATCACAAGCAAAAGGCTTTGTAGTAAAATACTGAAAAAAACATAAAAGGCAATGTCTTCATTTGTAAAAGATGAGCAAAATACAGTAATATGGTTTGTTTCCACGGAGATTAAATTCTTAGGGCTTTAAACTTGATATATTAATCGAAGGATAAAAAGGTTACCTGGGAAACAAGGGCACTAGAGGCAGTACCGCGTTTGTGAGGATCAATAGAAAGAAGAGTTTCTATCAGATTGATTTCAGTCTCAGACAAATCTTTCAAGGTTTCCCGGAGACAACTATCATAATTTTGTTGTGGCTTGAAAAGCATTGCATGGGGAAGTTTGGACTTTTTCCAGTAATCTTCTGGTGGAGATCCACACAGTTTGAAGATTTTGTGCAGCTGTTCAACCTGTTCATAAAATTCATAATAGCACTGAATTACAGTTTTCACCAAGTAAAAGATAACATATATCCATGACCAAAAGGTCCAATATCATAAATAATAGAAGACAGTGTTAAGAGGTTTACCTCAGTTCTTCCCCGAAGAATAGGTTTTCCAAGAAGCAGCTCAGCGAAAACACAACCAACACTCCACATGTCAACAGATGCTCCATAGTCCGTTGCCCCGAGCAAAAGTTCAGGTGGACGATACCACAGAGTCACAACTCGACTGGTAAGAGGTTTCTTCTTGTGTCCAGAACAATTGCTGAAGTTTGCTAACCCAAAATCAGCCACCTTTAGTATCCCTTCGTTACTCAACAAAAGATTTGAACCTTTTATGTCTCGATGCATCACGCCTCGTGAATGACAATGATCAAGCCCAGACAACAATTGCTTCATGTAACACTTAATCTGCAGGAAGCAAAAAACCAATGATCACACAACCAGATACATAACAAAACTCCCCAACATTATGGACAATGAGAATTCCATTATAAAATCAAACCAACCTGTGGCGTTGTAAATTTGATGTCAGGGGAAGAAAGAAGACCAGTAAGATCATGCTCCATATACTCGAACACAAGTTGTATGTTGCAAGATAGTTTTGAAGTAATCAAGCCTTCTAATTTGATAATGTTGGGATGATTGAGTCTTCTAAGTATCAAAATCTCTCTTGCCATAAACTTAACACTCTCTGGCTCAAAATTATCAAACCTCACCTTCTTCAACGCCACAATCCTCCCGGTTTCGGTCTCCACCGCACGAAACACACTGCTATAAGTACCTTGTCCAATCTACAGAAACCAAATCAAACCTCCATTTGAACCAGAAACAAACAACATTCACAAAAGACACAAAGAATTGTCAAATTTCAAAACCTTTTCGAGCTTTTCGAAAGCATCGGATCGAAGAGGAACCCAACCATGGATAGCTTCACCAGCAACGTTGCTCAACCACGCAGGCCAACCAGCAGCGACTTGCTCAGCTTCAAGGTATCTACTAACATTACCAAGTCGAAAACTCAGCGAGTCACTAGCACGTCCTGACTCGCTACCCAACTCACTACCGCTCCTCTGACTCCTCCTCTTCCCACTCCTGCTCCTCCATGACACGAGCTTCTTCAACGTCGCGCGAGGCGGATCCTCCAACACTATCCGACCCGATCCGGAACACTCATTTTCATTTTCCTTGAAAACACCTGAGTGATCGATCGCAGGCGTCACAGAGACCGTCTGCTTCGAGCTAACGCAACCCATTTTTTTACAGAATTCCTATTACTTCCTAACTTCACAACCACCACAAGTGACTAGATAATCCCCTCTCCGTATTTTCCGGCGCCGTCACGGTAAGATCCGTCGGCGTAATTCGGATCCGGAATCGAAGTGAATCTCCTGAAAGTAGTGAAAACTTGAGAGGTTTCGTATATTTTTATAATGAAGATAGAGAAGAAGAGAATGTTTTTAGGCTCTTCACTTTTTTTTGTTTTTTTTTTGCCGTATTACAGAAGAAGACGGTACATTACTTCATTTAAAATATTAAGAAAATAAAATTCAAAAGAAAACATGCATTTATTAGTCTGGTCCAAAAAATCGAAGCTACACCTTCCAAAATTTGAAACCTATTTTAGCAAATAGTTAATGACAGCTTTTTTGTTGAAATAAAGAATAGACTACACAAATGTGGTAGAACAGAATTCAAAGCGTGTTGGAATAATTATTATTATACCAAAAAAAAAAAAAAGAGGAAATTGATTTTTGGTTGTACGAAGATGGACTTGAAATGATTTATCCATAAGCACTAAGTAGTGCTAATGAGATTAAAAAAGCTAAAACTATGATTAAATTCCATAAGATAAGTCAAAACAAAATTCATTACAGACATACAATAATTGCAAAGAGAAACTCACTTGTGTCTCTAATGCTTTGCCAGCTCTTTGTCTATGATGACTACTACTACTAATAATATTTTGCTTAATATATCTGTTTCTCAACATTCAAGGACTAAGTATATTTTTAAGTATGATCTGAGGTACTTATAGTTATAGCTAACAAACTCAATCTCTATCAGTCAATTTTATTTATTTTTCTCTCTAAAAAAAGACGAAACCAGAAAAGAAAATAGATCAGTAACTGCCATATGCAGAAAACACAAGCGACAAAAGAAGAAACAAAAAAAAGTATAGTCAAAAAAAATATTCGAAAAATGCCATCATTTACCTAAATCATTCCTTATTATATTCTGTAAACAGATTTTAAGTTGAATGGTAGTGAGCCTAAAATCCATCATAACATAATGTTTGTAATGATGATCAGATTAATAAGAGAAGAAATTCCAAGAAAAGATTTGAACTTAATATCTCTTTATGTATTCAAGATCATAGGACATAGTCTCGTACGGTTCAACTACACCATTTAAAGTTCAGGACTAAACCCTCTGAAAGACCAAAACAAAGTAGGGACAACTTAAGAAACAAGAACAAAACATTGTCTCAAGGCAAAAGTTGAAAATTAAGCCTTCTTCTTTTTAGATTTGAGCATGACCATGCCGATGAATACGGAAATGAGAGAGAGGAGGGCTATGCCGGCAAAGACAGGTACGAGAATGGCATAGTCTTGGGGCAAGAAGTACTTGTGGATGAAGTGATCACTATCTACAAATGGCTGTACAAAAGGAAAATTATATCACGTGAGCTTTTTCCTAGTAATATCCGAAACATTAGATGACAATGGTACATCAAATTGATAATGTGTTTTAAGGAACTTGGGGGAGATGAATTATGTGGTTGTCACTTACCAGGATGATAACCCAGAAAGTATAGTAAGTGAATATGGATAAGCTAATTGAAGATAGTAGAAGCCCGACTGCTCGATCCGCTAATTCCATTTTGTCTTGTTCAAAACCTGCAGCACGACAAATCAACCATGAGAAAAATCAGAAAGATTCAAGAAGCTATTCAGGCAAGCTTTGGAAGACACAGACAAAAGTGAAGGTAGTTATAAAGTGAATTCCACCAAAACCGTTTCACCTAGAATTTGCCCACAAGACCAGCTAATGACATGGTTTTAGATTCTGAGGATATTCAAACTGAGCTACTGCACAAGGCCTCTCAGAATTTAAAACAGTTGAAGAACAATAATCACCGGACCTATGATTTGCTAGACATCAGATACACAGAGCTCAACAAACTGTCTAAAACGATCAGGGTTGACCCTAGGAAGATATCAAACACTTGCAGGACTCTTGCAATGGGGGATAAAGTAATCATCTCCAGGCTCCAAAATCAACGGCTTGAAGTGATATTTGACCTATATAGAGATCTTTGAGGTGTTCCTTACACAGCCCTATTCTCCTCCCATTTAAGCTAGAAGGAATACAAACAGAAAATCCAGTTTTCCAACCAGGAAACTTCTGTCTCTCCATTGCATGTAGAGTATAAACAGCAGGTGCAGCCATCGAACAACCAATTACAAAGCAATTGCACGGCCTTGATTCGCTCACTAATCGAGACAAAGACAATAAACACAAACCACTATTGGAAAGGCCGTATGTTAGATGTTCATCCCTGTCAAAAGCAGGAGAATCTAGTTTCTCATGTTGTATTTCCTGTTCTATATCTTCAGCAGAGGGAATAGTGCTCAGTTCCAAATCAAGGCGCTTCTCTATTTCATTTTCATGTATTCGATATTTTGCTGCCAAAGTACGGATGCATGACATTCTGACCTGATTATCGATAAGAACCTTTATCTCATCAAAATTACTACAGCCTTCATACCAAATCACCCATCGCCGAACAAGTCCTGAATACCAATCAATTATTTGGGCAGTATCTTGCAAAATAAGCATGGAATTTGAACGAGCATAACCCTTGGCTGTTATTAATCCGTAGCGATAAAGACGTCTTCCTATAGCATTAGTAGGAGCGACAACATCACCAAAGAAAACAGGTCTATCATGAGACCGTGGACATGGCAAAAGCGCTTCCACGTTAGCCGTCTCTGAAGAAACATATGCTGCAGCAGCTTTTTGGAACTTGTAAAACGCGTCTCTTAATTCTTGAGGAACAGTAGGTTCTACAACATGCTTGGACAAGACAAACTCCTCGCTTCTATCTGCAGAGGTTCTTAGCACATCCTCCATCCATATTCTAAGCAAGACCTTATACCAATGATCCGTTTCCATGCCTGCCTTTCTGTGGCAAGATATTTGACTCAACGTAGAGTTACTATCTGCCAAGCCTTTGATTTCTGACTCTTTGACCTTCTTCAATCCATGTCCTAACCATTTCTTTCCAATTCTAACTGTACCTAAGGTCCAGGCCTCTTCTTTCTGCAATGCAAAGAGCCTAACCTTCTCCTTTAACTTGTGAACAGCTTTGACAGTGTGACTCTCCCTAACATTTTTCTTAACCAAGGTACCCAAAACACGAAGCCCACTGGTAGCATCACATGGTGACGGGTCTGTTTCATCTGTGATGTCCAAATGCAGCGAGTTCCGTAAGAAACCAATCGCTTCAGATCTGATATCAATTGCAGCTTTCTTGAGACCAGACACAGATAAATATATCTCATCCATAAATCTGCAACAATAAACTCTGAGCGCAACGTCCTGCTCCGGAGTACTTTTCAAATCTTGTTCTCCGGCTTGCCTCCTAAACCAGGAACGAAGTTTTGAGCCTGGGCTATCTTCATCAGTCTTTGAATCAAGACCAAGGGCTTCATGCCTCATTGAGATTCTATAAAATTCATGATCAAACCGATCAAGATATATGTTCATTAATACTCGGGACAACACCCCTTCTTGTGGAAGACCATGGCCCTTAGGAAATCCTCCAAACTCGAGATTGAGCACCCGGGCTTCAAACATAGAACGGAGTAAGATGCTTAAACTGCTGTCTTCTATTTTTTCATCCATTACAGAGAGCAAGTTCTCGAAAACAGAAACATCAAGTTTTTTGTTCAGGCTCAAAGTGAAACACCAATCAGAACGAGAAATATTGTTGCTGATGTACTTCAATGCAGAGGCACGCCCCCTTCCGCTTCGGCAACTATGTGAAATCTTAGAAAAATGAGGACTGAAAACAACTTCCAGGACTATTCTAATAGCCTCTTGGACAACTTTAAGAGCTACACTAGGCAAGACAAGGACCTCTTTTGTTTTATCTCTAGCCACAATCGAAAACGTATTGGAAGCGACATCAAACACCCCGCTAGAGAGCTCTTCTGCAATAGAATCAAACGCAACACTTCCATTGCTTTCCATTATAGAAACATTGGAGTTAAGCCGAATACAATCATAAGCGTCCCGGAGCGTTTCAGGCCTTGCAATCACCTTCTTCAACAGGTCACTAAACTTCCCATCAGTGCACTGCTCTTTAACTCTTTTCTTTAAACGGAGTTCAAGAGATCGTTTAAGTTCCATACGACCTCTGGGTTTGCTATCATCATCAACATGAGAAGAAGATTCCTCTACAAGAGAAGCTAATTCCCCAGCTAGTGAAAACATTCCAGTTTCCTTACTAGCCATTTCTGCATTATTTGTTGCAAGCAGAGCCGATTTGGGAAATGTGGAAACTGTGCGAATCCATAAGCCCCGTGAAATTAGGGTTTCTACGTAACCTCGATCAACTCGGCGCAACAAATCCAAAACTATATTCCGTTTCCTAAACATCAAGTAAAATTTCCGATTCCCAAATTCTAAAACTAAGCGATTATTATATCACTCTTCTTAAGCCAGTAATTCTACAATAGAATGGGAACAATCAGGTTTATTCAATCTATATGCTTAATTCGACACAGAAATGGAAGAAAACTTACGTTAAGGGTTGCGATTGGTCTGAGAGAGAAATCGAAGAAGCTTTGCTTTGCACAGCGAAATTACTCGAGATTGAGAAGAAGGAAGGAAGGAGGGACTATTTGTGAAATAACATAAAATATTGTTTATTTCCATAAATTACATTTAGACCCCTGTATTTGTAGAATGCTTCTCTTTTAAACATTTGTTTTGATAATAGACTTATAGGTAACTGGATGATCAATTTAGTGGCAACTCGATGATAATATATGTTTCATATCTCATTTGTACGTCCATAAAATTTTAGGAAATGAGTTTGCCTTGCAACTAAACTAACATTCGAAATATTTGGCTCATATGTTTAATCTTTATTTTCGTTATTTCATTTTGCTAAAGTGTATATAGATATCTAAATTCTCTCTTCATACCATGATTTTAGATGGAAAAAAAAAAAAAAAACTCATTTATCTTGATCTCTCCGTCCACTAAGTTTATTTCAATAAAATGATATGTATTTGATTTGTCTAATTTAGAAAGAAGAAAAAATGTATGATGGGTGAAACCGGGATTAAAAATGACTAAAGAATCGAGAACTAAAAAATAGACAAAACTATCACTAAATGATGAATTCGTTAATTCAGTTTGATAATTAATATAGAAACACGAGTGATCAGCTTTTCTACCCGTTGAACCATTATCATCTACTTGTTCCATTGTTTATCAGTTTCCTATCGATTGACAATTTCTGATATGTATTAGTGTATAAATGCTTTGCTTCATGCTTGAAAACAAAAAAAAAAAACAAAAAAGATGCTTCATGCTTTGTTTGTTTATATTCCCCCAAGAATACAATAATATCTAATATTGAACTAGGTTTCAAGGTTCTCCCAAACCTTTAATTCTTTAAAAGGTTTCAAGGTTCAAGTACTCGGGTTTGGTCCGATCATGTTATGATTTCACATGATAGGTCAGGTTCTAAAGAGTCGGACTAGATCGAGTGGATATTTTACTACCTACAATAGTTTCTCTAATTGGATCCAATGCTATTTGTTGTCGTGTGCAAGTTATTTATTATATTAGGTGATAATGTTGAATTTGACCAATGGAAACAACAAACAGCAAATGGGTACGCAGAGAAAAACCTGAACGCAGAAACGACGTGGCTTTCAAGTGGCATGGACTTTTTTAAATTTCATAACAAAATTTTCTTTTCTTTGGTCGCCTTAGTTGTTTTGGCATGAACAATGTTGGCTCAATACCATTCACACGTCCTTAGTGTTGTTGAATGGACCATTTTATTTATCCGGGGATTTTCTTTATTTTTTCTTTTCAATTGCTCGATATCTTTAAAGTTGGTACCACTTTGAATTTTTTTAGAATTTATATCATTATGCGTTCTAGTGTCAGAAGACACAACATGGATATTTGGAATAGCAATAAAAGAATTTGAAACATATGTGGCAGAAGAGAATGATACAATAATAAAAAAAAAAAGAATGATACAACATCCTAGTATGATTAGTTGAAGCTGCAATTGTATAAAATATTATTGTAGTTAGTTTATCAAAAAAAAATATGATTGTAGTTAATAACACTAAACATATAAGTATACTATTTTTAAAAAAATGTAAATACTATAAAACCAAATTATCCTAACACATAATATCTACAACTTTGAAAGTTTGATTTGTTTCTGAAAAATACTACTTTTTGCAGGTTCTTTTCCCATAACACATAATATCATTTTAGTCATTAATTATAATTCTTTTTTATATTGTTCACTTTATGGAAGAGAATAGTAGCCTCTGAATTTTCCAATTCAAATAAATTTCAATGGTCTATCACGAAGTGTTATACTATTCAATTCAATTAATTGAATATTTAGACTAATCAAGGTAAAATAATACACGCATTTGACTTATCACGAAGAAAAAAAAAAGTTAAGAGAGAAATATTTATAGCTAGCGGGAAAATAAATAACAAGCAAAAGAAACGAATAATGTGAGATTTGATGATTAACAATGATTTAAAAAAACATTGGTCAAAGCACTAAGCAAGTCAACTAGTGCCGTCCATATGAATCACATTGGACCCACCATATACATGTTTTTTTGTTAACCCTATTTTAGTAAAATATATCTTAATTTTGAACATTTCAAAATGATGCCAATTTCTTCTCTTTAGTCGTCTAAAACTTATGAAATTACACTTTTAATCTGTGTACAAGCAAATATTTCTTTTAAGTACATTAGTCACATTCACCATATATGTAACGTAATTTTTAGATTTACATTATGCAGAAGTTTTATTTTATTTTACTAACTTTTACCAACTCTGACAGGAAGTCAAACTATTCAGAACCGGTCAACTTAGATGTCACAACTGCTCACCTAATCTTTTCCATAAGTTAACTTCAAAAAACTAATCTAATTTAATGCTTTTTTAAACCATATCACACGATTAAAATTTATAAAACGTCCACATATTTTCCATCGTTCAAATATCAAAATTTCTTCACTAGGATAAGTTCTTGAGTGCGCAAGTGGTACCGTACAATATAAAAGAAAAGCTAATAGTGAATCAAAATCAATATTTGTAAATTGTAATTGCTTACTTTTTATAATATGGAGAACAAAAATGAGTTATGGTTTAGTCATATGCTGATATGCGACTTATTTAGTCGATAAAACATCAATTTGTTTTTGTTCTAAACGACTTCAGAATAATTTTTTTTTTTTTCCAACATGCAATTTTTGAAATATTCAACAAATGCGGTTTTTTCCTTAAGAAAAATTTGATAAGACTAGTAACGTAATATATACGTTTTGATGGGTCAAAATTAGCATAATAAGATGACTCAATTTCACCTTTTTGTAATTAATTTTTGTTGTTGAGGAAAAGTCTAATAAATAGGAATAAATCTCTGAGATGTTCAAAGTTTCAGTTGCTTGGTCTACGTGCGTGCTGGTTTGTTTTTTTTCCAACTTCCCTTTTTCTCTAATCTCTCTTTCCACATGAATTTCCATGAAATTCATCTTCTTCTCCGATAATTTCCACATCTTCTCGAGGAACATCACAGCAGCCCAAGAAGAGGACGACGTTAACAATAAAGAAGCAGACGAAGAAAACAAAGTGGAGGACGACGACTATGGTGACGCGTGTGATCATGGCGGATAATGATTCTGAGTCACTTTGCTTTGTTTGTTTCTTACTCTTTGTTTTGAACACTGGTAATTTTCTTCGCTTCTTTCAATTTATGTTTCGTTTAGAGTTTTTGGGAATTGTACCGTGTTCTCTGCTTGAGTTAGAGTTTTGGGTTTCTTTTTCTTTCACGTTTACTTCAAATGTGTTTCAAGAGATGAAGTTCGAGTATCGCAATTCAGGGTTTTACATTGTGTGTTATGGAATCGCAAAGTTTCGATTTTTACTCTGTTTGACGTCGTTGATGATTGTTTAGTTTTGATTTTTTCTTCCATGGCAGCCATAGCAGTGGCTGGAGATTCTCTGGACAATGATAGAGAAGTCTTGCTAAGTCTGAAATCGTACCTCGAATCGCGGAACCCACAGAACCGAGGAATGTACTCAGAATGGAAAATGGAGAACCAAGATGTGTGTCAATGGTCTGGAATCAAATGCACACGTCAGGGAAGTAGAGTCACGGGGATAAATCTAAGTGATTCCACCATTGCTGGTCCTCTGTTCAGGAACTTCTCCGCCTTAACTGAGCTCACGTATCTCGATTTATCAAGGAACACGATCGAAGGGGAGATTCCAGATGACCTGAGCCGTTGTCACAACTTAAGGCATCTGAATCTTTCTCATAATATTCTTGAAGGAAAGCTTAGCTTATCCGGGTTGTCAAATCTTGAGGTTCTTGATCTGTCGTTGAATAGGATTGCGGGTGGTATTCAGTCTAGCTTCCCATTGTTTTGCAACAGCTTGATTGTTGCAAATCTGTCGACCAACAACTTTACTGGAAGAATCGATGACATCTTCAACGGGTGTAGGAATCTCAAGTATGTTGACTTCAGTACCAATGGATTCAGTGGAGAAGTGTGGGCTGGTTTTGGGAGGCTGGTCGAGTTTTCAGTTTCTGATAATCATCTCTCCGGGAATATATCTGCTTCAATGTTCAGGGGAAACTGCACTTTGCAAATGTTGGATTTGTCTGGGAACGATTTTGGTGGGGAATTTCCAGGCCAAGTTTCGAATTGCCATAATCTAAGTGTATTGAATCTGTGGGGAAACAACTTCATAGGGAACATTCCAGCTGAGATAGGTTCCATATCCTCTCTCAGAGGTTTGTACTTGGGGAATAATACATTTTCTCGAGACATACCTGAAACTCTCCTGAACTTGAGCAACTTGGTGTTTCTGGATTTGAGCAGAAACAATTTTGGTGGAGACATTCAAGAAATATTTGGGAGATTCACTCAAGTAAAGTATCTAGTCCTGCATGCGAACTCTTACGTAGGAGGCATCAATTCTTCCAACATCCTCAAGTTACCTAATCTTTTAAGGCTAGATTTGGGCTACAACAACTTCTCGGGACAGTTACCTGCTGAAATTTCCCAGATCCAGAGTTTGAAGTTCTTGATTCTTGCTTATAATAACTTTAGTGGCGATATACCACAGGAGTATGGGAACATGCCGGGGCTTCAAGCACTTGATCTCTCCTTTAACAGGCTGACCGGTTCGATACCAGCTTCATTTGGGAAATTGACCTCTCTTTTGTGGCTAATGCTTGCAAATAACTCTCTATCAGGGGATATCCCTCGAGAGATTGGCAACTGCACGAGCCTTTTGTGGTTTAACGTGGCAAACAACCAGCTCTCTGGTAGATTCCATCCTGAATTGACTAGAATGGGTAGTGATCCTTCTCCAACATTTGAAGTGAATAGGCAGAACAACGACAAGATAATTGCTGGTTCCGGTGAATGCTTGGCGATGAAGAGATGGATTCCAGCAGAGTTCCCTCCGTTCAACTTTGTATACGCAATTCTTACCAAAAAGAGTTGCAGAAGCCTATGGGACCATGTTCTCAAAGGGTACGGTCTATTTCCTGTCTGCTCTGCTGGTTCCACGGTACGCACGCTTAAAATTTCAGCCTATCTTCAGCTCAGTGGGAATAAGTTTTCAGGTGAGATTCCTGCAAACATCTCTCAGATGGACAGGCTGAGCACACTACATTTGGGTTTCAATGAGTTTGAGGGGAAACTGCCTCCAGAGATAGGACGATTGCCTCTTGCATTCCTCAACCTTACCCGAAACAATTTCTCAGGCCAGATTCCTCAAGAAATCGGAAATCTGAAGTGCCTGCAGAATCTTGATCTGTCTTACAACAATTTCTCAGGCAACTTTCCGACGAGTTTGAATGACTTGAATGAGCTGAGTAAGTTCAACATCTCATATAACCCTTTCATTTCTGGCGCGATACCAACAACGGGACAAGTGGTAACCTTTGACAAAGACTCCTTTCTTGGAAATCCGCTGCTGCGGTTTCCTAGTTTCTTCAACCAATCAGGGAACAACACGAGGAAGATTTCCAACCAAGTCCTAGGAAACAGGCCAAGAACTCTTCTTTTGATTTGGATTTCCTCGGCTCTTGCATTGGCGTTTATCGCATGTTTAGTGGTATCAGGTATTGTACTTATGGTTGTTAAGGCTTCAAGGGAAGCGGAAATCGATCTCTTAGATGGGTCGAAAACCAGACATGACATGACTTCCAGTTCAGGCGGATCATCGCCATGGCTATCAGGAAAAATCAAGGTCATTCGCTTAGACAAATCAACTTTCACATACGCTGACATTCTGAAAGCAACCAGTAACTTCTCTGAGGAGAGAGTGGTAGGTAGGGGAGGATATGGAACTGTTTACAGAGGTGTATTGCCTGATGGAAGAGAAGTTGCAGTCAAGAAGCTGCAGAGGGAAGGCACAGAAGCAGAAAAAGAGTTCAGAGCCGAAATGGAAGTTCTTAGTGCCAACGCATTTGGTGATTGGGCACATCCGAACCTCGTGAGGCTGTATGGGTGGTGCCTAGATGGGTCAGAGAAAATCTTGGTGCACGAATACATGGGAGGCGGGAGCTTAGAGGAGCTCATCACAGACAAAACAAAACTTCCATGGAAGAAACGTATTGATATAGCCACAGATGTAGCACGGGGATTAGTGTTTTTACACCATGAATGCTACCCTTCCATCGTTCACAGAGATGTGAAAGCAAGCAACGTTCTTTTGGATAGACACGGGAATGCAAGAGTGACAGATTTTGGATTAGCAAGACTCTTAAATGTAGGAGATAGCCATGTGAGCACGGTGATTGCAGGCACAATCGGGTATGTAGCTCCCGAGTATGGACAAACTTGGCAAGCCACCACAAGAGGAGATGTTTACAGCTACGGAGTACTGACCATGGAACTTGCGACGGGTAGAAGAGCTGTTGATGGAGGAGAAGAGTGTTTGGTGGAATGGGTTAGACGTGTAATGACAGATAACATGACGGCCAAAGGTTCGCCATTTACCCTGTCAGGGACCAAACCAGGGAACGGAGCTGAGCAATTGACTGAGCTACTAAAGATTGGTGTGAAGTGTACAGCTGATCATCCTCAGGCAAGACCAAACATGAAAGAGGTTCTAGCTATGTTGGTTAAGATATCCGGTAAAGCAGAGCTCTTCAACGGCTTATCTTCACAAGGTTACATAGAAATGTAAAAATCTTTCTTTTCTTCATTCAGATTTATACAGAACAGCAGAGTTTTCTTCTTCACCATTTTTCGTTTCATTGTTTCTGATTCTTCTTGTACACAGAATCTCATTGTTGTCAGACAGATAGGGATAGAGAAAGGTAGTTTTGTTCGCTATGTACAGAGACACAATTTGAAATAAAGATCTTCTCTTCTTCTTGTCTATATTGAGTGTAAACAACTTTGGCTCAATCTCATGTTTCTTACAAGCCAGGAAACATACAGGAAGAAAGAAACAGCACAATGAGTCAGGCTGCAATCTCTCTGATCAGCCAGTTTAAGCTCGGGAAGGCAAAATAGAGAACGAGAAATGACGGGACAGCCAAAGCAAACGTGACAAAGAAATAAAGCCCAAGAACTGCAGCACTCACAGGGATTGCATATAAAGACATCAACAGGAATATGACTACCAAAGGGAACTTAGACAGCAAATGAGCAACAAGAGCCATTGACTTACATACCGAGTCATGGAGTCTCCCAGTTCTGAAGAATCCTCTGGTCACACCATTCCACCAGCTGCGATTGTCCAGTAACCTTTCATCATCTGAGGCAGTATTACTCACTCCATCACACCTCTTTCTCAAGTCTCTCTGCCCTGAAGTGACCCTTTTGTTGTCGCTGCGCGCTTCGGATCTGCAGCCATTCATGCTTTCGACCATCCATAGAAGGTAAAAGTTCTTGGAAGGAAATTTGATGGTTCCGTTGCAAACCAGCCTTAAAGAGAGAATATTGCACCAAGGGCAAGCAACGAAGAAAGGAAGCTGGAAAGGTAAAGCTGAGGATTTGATGACAACGGCACGTTGAAGCCCTAAGAGACAGTACTTGCAGATTGTATGACCACACCATAAGACATAAGGTACATTCTCAACGACGTTGAATGATTCCCAGCAAATGGGGCACTCCAATTTTTCTTCTTTTGTTGTCTTTCTTCCATCTCCTGATGAATCTGAAGGAGCTTTTCTTTGTTTTGTAGCAGCTTCTTCTCCCTGTGATTTAAAGCCTTCTCTGATCGATTTTGAAGCTAAATTCCACATAACAATGGAGGCGTCCACCACAAAGATAATCACTTTGAATCTTTCTTTCTGCAAAAACAATATCAAGCAAAAGTACACACACATAATCAGACACGAAATTCACAATCCAACCCACAATGATTTGACCCAGAACATACAAAAAGCAACGAACTTGATGAAACCCAAGAAATCAGTAACAGAGTTACAGAAAACGAAACATACCACGATGATTTCCAAAAGACTTGCAAGAGTTTATCCGATCATGAAGATGAACATCATTGGAAAAAAAAATTATGCAACAGCGACGTCGTTGAGATATATATATCCGAAGCTCTGATGTAAGTAGCGACGAGAAAACCGCTGAAAAAGAGACACGCGTCGTAAAACATGGTGACTCTGAAACGCCTTTCAATGTTTCCGCCGCCCCCACCGAGTTCCTCACCTTATCCGTTGCTGTTCTCAGGTTTTAACCATTAAAACGCATCGTTTCATTTTTTCACTCCTAATTAACCGCCAAATTTAAACCACCGGTTTACTTCCGTAATTTTCTATTACCAAAGTAATAATAGTTGTCGGTGAGAGTGAGCTGTACGCGTTTCTTCTTCTCCTTGTTGTGCTTCTGGATCGAACGAAGCATTTTCCTCCGACAATATATTTTTAAGTAATGACAATGTTTCCGCATTATTGGGTTTAATTCCATTTTTAAATTAGGGTTCTTCTTCAGATCGACAAATCTTTCTCTCTCTCTCTCCGATCGGAATCATGCTAAAGATCTGAACTTTTTTTTCAGATCCGTGAATAAAAAGTAAGTACAGAGAGAGAGAAACATACTCAGACTGATCTGAGGAAAACAAAGTTGATGGTCGCAAACCTGTAAGTGAAATCTATAGAGAGAGACGTTGGAGGAGAAAATGGGTCAAGATGGTTCGCCGGCGCATAAAAGACCCTCCGGAAGCGGCGGAGGACTTCCGACGACGACTGTAACGAATGGTGGAGGAAGAGGTGGTCGTGGTGGTTTGTTGCCTCGAGGTAGACAGATGCAGAAGACGTTTAACAACATCAAGATCACGATTCTCTGTGGTTTCGTCACAATCCTCGTCTTACGTGGCACTATCGGTGTTGGTAACCTCGGAAGCTCAAGCGCCGATGCGGTTAACCAGAACATCATCGAGGAGACTAACCGGATTCTAGCTGAGATCCGATCTGATTCGGATCCAACTGACTTGGATGAGCCTCAGGAAGGTGATATGAATCCCAATGCGACGTATGTTCTTGGGCCTAAGATCACGGATTGGGATAGTCAACGTAAGGTATGGTTGAATCAGAATCCTGAGTTTCCTAGTACTGTCAATGGCAAAGCTCGAATCTTGCTTTTAACCGGATCTCCTCCGAAGCCTTGCGATAACCCGATTGGTGACCATTATTTGTTGAAATCTGTGAAGAACAAGATTGATTATTGTAGGCTTCATGGGATTGAGATTGTGTATAACATGGCTCATTTGGATAAGGAACTCGCTGGATATTGGGCGAAATTGCCGATGATTAGGAGGTTGATGTTGTCTCATCCAGAAGTTGAGTGGATCTGGTGGATGGATAGTGATGCTTTGTTCACTGATATACTGTTTCAGATCCCTTTGGCTAGGTATGAGAAGCATAATCTCGTGATTCACGGTTATCCGGACTTGCTGTTCGATCAGAAGTCGTGGATTGCTTTGAACACTGGTAGTTTTCTGCTGAGGAATTGTCAGTGGTCGTTGGATTTGTTAGATGCTTGGGCGCCAATGGGACCTAAAGGTCCAATTCGTGATGAGGCCGGGAAGGTATTGACGGCTTATCTGAAAGGTAGACCAGCTTTTGAGGCAGATGATCAGTCAGCATTGATCTATCTCCTGCTTTCTCAGAAAGATACATGGATGGAGAAAGTGTTTGTGGAGAATCAATACTATTTACACGGGTTTTGGGAAGGTTTGGTTGATAGATATGAGGAGATGATAGAGAAGTATCACCCGGGATTGGGTGATGAGAGATGGCCGTTTGTGACCCATTTCGTTGGGTGTAAACCGTGTGGTAGCTATGCTGATTATGCAGTCGAGAGGTGCTTGAAGAGCATGGAGAGGGCCTTTAATTTTGCAGACAATCAAGTTCTCAAGCTGTATGGTTTTGGCCATAGGGGATTGTTGAGCCCCAAGATTAAGAGGATCAGAAATGAGACAGTCACTCCTTTGGAGTTTGTAGACAAGTTTGATATTCGCAGAACGCAAGTGGAAACCAAACCACAGAACTAGAGGAAAACAAGGAGAGGATAGGCTCAGCTCTCATGAGATCTTGGGACACGTATAGGTAAAATATATGACACTCACAAATGCAAAGCAAATTTGTTTGCCTGTACTTGCTACTTTACTGTTTCTTCTGCTTCTTTTTTTGTTTGTTGTTGTTTGCAAGAATATTTTAGCGGCAAAATTCTTTTTCCATAGATGTTTTTGTGTTTTCTTCAGTCAAATATATGGAGAAATTTCATACTTTGTTATTGCTCGTAACTGTTATATTCAAGTTTCTGACACTTGAACTTGTTGGACACTACTAACTTCCGAAGAAAATCAAGAGCATCCATAAAATTAGACTGGAATCAGGATGACTATTACATTATGGGTTTGGTGTAACCATTGGTCAGTACAAGACAGTGCATTTAACATACTAACTTCCTTCTTCTCAGCTACCAATCGCTCACGAATTAACAGAGACTAAGATTGTCCTTAATATTACATGCATCTACAAAAAGGGAATGACCAAAAGTGACTCACTGACTGAACAGGAAGATACAGAGGCATGGTTTTTCCTTCGCTAGATCATTTTGTCCAATGGATTACCAACTTTCTGGCTGCTAGACGTATCCCTGCCATTTGCTGATAATCGTAAGGCTCGAGTGCGAAGAATGCATCAACCAGGGTACCAGGAAGTAATGCTGACTCAAGCTTTTCAAAGTTATCGCTACTGAAATCGATCTTTTGATTGGTTCCCAAAGGTTCTTCTTTTTGATATACCTGGGTTCCACACCGGACATCATCCCCATTGGATTCTGAGCTTATTCTGTCAACCAGATAAGAATGGTATCAGAGATTAGGGACTCTCAGGATTCATTCACATATGTGAAGGTTAGAGAGAGAGTTGAATACTTACTGCAGTCTGGCTGTGGGATAGTTGGCAAAGCCTTCTTTCCTTATAACAGTAGGCCTCCAATCTGAGTTTGTGCTTGAGTCAATTGGTAAGTTATGCGCAGCAGCATCAGCTGCGTCCAAGATCTTGCATAAATCAGGAGATATGTCGACAACAATATTTAACCTTGGATGACCTGCATGATCCAAAAACTTCCGGCTTATTCCAAACCGAATTTTTAAGCTATACCAACACAGATGTAGAGGGGTGTCGTTGTGAAACAGCTTCATTCTCAGGCTCCCACGGGAAAACGGGATAAGACTTGCCCTGATGCTAGAAACAGATACTTCATTAACACCCAAAAATGATTCATCCTTTGCATCGGGATCAGGTGATGGAGGTGATTCATCCTGCTGTCTTACAGTTTTCGCTTCGTCTGCAGCATCAGTCTGAAGAGTTCCAATATGTAGTCTACTTATTAAAGTGGTTATATCAGATGGATCTATTTCGCAACTAGATGTATCACTTTCTGAGCATTCCGTCAGAAGAGAAATGATGGGATGGTTTTTGACGATTGCGGCATCCGCGGAAGACAAACTCGGATCAGTTTTAGGACTCGAGGAGGAAGAAGTTGAGCTTTCTCTGACTCCATCACGCACTGACTTCTCATTACTTCGTCGTGTTCTGGGACTTTTTCGTGGGGAAAACCAGCTCATGTCTGTAAGAATGTCAGGGACACTGGACTCCTGTAAACACCAAGTACTTAAGCTTAGTGGTTTTCTGTTATCATGTCATATGACAAAGTATACTTGCAGATCATGTTCAGGGCTTGGAAAAGTTCTGGTCTGAAAAGAAAGATGGACACAACTTTTGCAAACTATAGACAGAAGTCAGAATCTCTAATCCTCAAAGTTACGGTTTATATCCCTTATTCCAAAAATGAGAAGACAGCATTACCAGAAACAAGACGGTTGCACAGTACTTGACAACTTCAAGATTCATCCGGACATCATCTAAGCTCCTGGTGAATCATATCCATGTTTAGTCCCATAATGAAACAACTGGTGAATCGTTAAAAGGCTCAGGGTCTCGTTTAGATTTACCTGTGAGCTTGATCTCCTAGCCCGAAGTATGTAGCAAGTGATGCCATCTACATTAATTAAAAGGAGTAAACTTTAGCAACTCTGATGAGAGAATCTTTGAAAGTTACAAGGAAATTCTCAAATTCATATCTATGAAGATAACAAGGAAGCTACAGGCTTTGAAATTTATCATTGAGAAGACGAAAAAAGAGAGACCTTCATATCACCAGCTCTCTTCCCAAACTTCTGAGACAACAATGAAAGCGAATCAATTGTAGCTTTCGGCTCTGGCGGAGAGAGACCAATTTCTGCAAATGCATCTCTTATTCTTACACAATCGAATCTCTTTATGTTATGTCCCGCCCAAATTCGTCCTACAAAACACACAAAAATCAACACTTGTACGAAAGTGAGAACGAGAGAGAAACAAAAACCCTTACCGTGAAGAATGTCGTAGACCTCATCGGCGATTTCAGAGAATGTAGGTGCTGAGAGGACTCCGTCGCGCGTAATGCCGCTACGTCGCTTCGTGAGCGTTGAGATGAGAGAAAGATCAGTGGGTCGAACCAAAGTTGAGTAACTATAGAGCTCCACTAGCTTCCTAGGACAAACTAAGATAGCCCCAAACTCCAAAATCGCAAAAGGCTGCCCTGATTTGGTCGGAACCGCCGTCTCTAGGTCGAAAAACGCTATCTCGCTTCTCTCATCGCCGCTCAGAGTCGAAGCCATTGTTAGAGAGAGAACTGAGAGTAAAGAAGAAGATAATTGGTGGGTTTAAAAGAGAGTGAGCTTCACGCGCCACCTCCTTTTTTACGGTAAAAAAAATCTGAACTTGAGAGACGCAACTGTAGGATGAGGTTTATCTTGCGTCATCTGAATTCACTTGGAGTGATCAACAAATTTGATTCCTTTCTTCTACATTATCATACCAACTCGCTTAAATCTAACCACACTTTGAAGCATTATCTTGAATCTGGGAAGCCAATTAAAGCTCTTTTGAATTTCCGGCATCGCTTCAGAGAAAGTCCCAGTTTTATTGACAGTTTCTCTGTGTTGTTTGCCATTAAAGCTTCGTCAGCTCAGAAAGCTTCCTCTTTTGATGGTAGACAGATCCACGCTCTTGTAAGGAAGCTAGGGTTCAATACCGTAATTCAAATTCAAACATCTCTGGTGGGGTTTTACTCTTCCGCGGGTGATCTCGATGATGCACGCCAAGTGTTCGACGAAACGCCTGAGAAACAGAACATTGTCTTGTGGACAGCGATGATTTCAGCGTACAGTGAGAATGAGAACTCTGTGGAAGCTATTGAGCTGTTTAACCGAATGGAAGCGGAGAAGATCGAACTTGATGAAGTGATTGTGACTGTGGCTTTATCCGCTTGTGCTGATCTTGGGGCAGTGCAGATGGGAGAACGGATTTATTTGCGGAGCATCAAGAGGAAACGAAGACTGGCTATGGATGTAACTCTGAGAAACTCACTTCTTAACATGTACGTGAAATCTGGGGAAATTGAGAAAGCTAGGAAATTGTTTGATGAAATTATGAGAAAAGATGTGACTACTTACACATCTATGATCTTCGGGTATGCTTTAAATGGTCAAGCTCAAGAATCTTTAGAACTCTTCAAGAAGATGAAGACGATTGATGATCAGCGACAAGACATTGTTATTACTCCAAATGATGTGACTTTCATCGGCGTCTTGATGGCTTGTAGTCACAGTGGATTAGTGGAAGAAGGAAAACGGCATTTCAAGAGCATGATTGTGGATTACAATCTGAAACCTAGAGACGCTCATTTTGGGTGTATGGTCGATTTGTTTTGTCGTTCAGGTCATTTGAAGGATGCTCACGAGTTCATCAATCAAATGCCGGTACAGCCAAACGCTGTGATATGGAGAACACTGCTTGGCGCTTGCAGTCTTCACGGGAATGTTGATCTCGGAGAAGAAGTTCAGAAACGGATCTTTGAGTTAGATCGTGATCATATAGGAGATTATATTGCGTTGTCAAATATATACGCTTCAAAAGGAATGTGGGATGAGAAATCGAAGATGAGGGATCGTGTGAGGAAGAGAAGAGTACCTGGTAAAAGCTGGATAGAACTCGGAAGCATTATCACTGAGTTTGTCTCAGGACATGATGATAATGATGAGCAGCTGATGATGGGAGAGATTAGTGAGGTTTTGAGATGTTTAGTTTCTTGTATGACAAGTTTTGATTGTGTAATAGATAATTTTAACTTAAATTATTGATTATCTTTCAAGTAAACGCATTCGTTTGACAATATTTAATTTTAAAAAAAAATCTAGTGGGAGTTAATAAAAGCCCACTTGTAGGAGCCTCTGGCCCAACGAATTAAATCAAAATTGATATAACTTAAATAACCAATTAAATTGGATATTTAAGTTTTCACGTTTATCAAAAAGGGCCCTTGGGAAAAAACAAATATCAAAGAGAGCCCAAAAAAGCCGGGACGAAGAAATCAGATTTTTCGAATTTATATTTTAAAATAAATTAAGAAAAAAAAAGAGAGAGCTCCGTCTTCGTTGCTTTTCGAGCGGTGGCTTGGTCTCAACTTCCATGGCTGACATCTTACCTTCAAATTTTCTCCAACCAACCAACACAAAGCTTCTTCTTCTTTTCTAAAATTTCATCAAACCCTAGGTTTTTCTCTATACAATTGTTTTTTTTTTAGTTCTTCATCTTCTTCTTCTCTATGGATGCGATCCTTTCCCCAGCCGTGGAGGCGGAACGAACCGCCGACTCAACGATCGACACAGTTTATCGTTTGATCGCCGGCGCTTTCTCCGGCGCACTTACTGGAATTTTCGCTATGGGTAATATATGTTTTCCATTTTCATCATCTTTTGTTTGTGCATTTGATTATTAGTTGAGTAGAGGAAAGTTTTCCCTTTTGTGAGAATTGTGACGATTTTGTTCCTCCTAAGTTCTTCGTTTCTACACTTTGGTCAACTCTTGATTTCTTCCAAAAATTATCACTTGTGGGCCTGCAAATTTTGTTAAAAAGGTTACGTTTTTCCTGTCTTGAGGGATTTGGTTGATTATCGTTGAGAACATTAGGCATAATTTATCCGATGAATCATACGTGTTCAACAACTTACAGCTAATGAATGATTCTGAACTTAAGTCTCACTTTGTAGACCAATCCTGGGTTTAAGATTAGGAAACTGATGTTGCCTGTTGCCTCTAGGTTTTGAATAAGTCATCATCTCTGCATGATCCTTATAAACCATTCTTGTTTTTTTTAATGTTATTGTAGCTGGAGCTTTCACTGGAGCTGTAACTGGTGCGGTGGCAGGAAGAGCTGCTCAGTATGGAGTTCTCCGTGGGGCTGCACTTGGCGCTGTTGCTGGAGCTATCCTCTCTGTTGAAGTGTTGGAGGCTTCTCGTGCGTACTGGTATTTAGAGCTGTCAGGATCAAGGGGTCCATCATCTATGGTTAGTCTTTAATTCTAACTTCTGAGCTATCTTACACGTTTGTCAAAATTGGAGATGGTTTTTGGAGTTTTTCGACTGACTTTTATGATCGAGATGGTGAGAGGATTCTGAGAGAAATGAAGTTTGGTGGAAGAAATAATGAGATAGCTTTGACATGTTACTGGTGGGCCATCAAAATTATGGGGTGACAGGATGGCTTGGTAATAGAAATGATTTTTGTGTTGCTAATGCCGCAAGGCAATTTAACAAAGGATTATAGCTCGACAAAGTCTGAGTCTGTTTTTTATTTATTGTTTATTTTTTGTGGGAAGGACTTGAACCAATTGCACAGTGTTTTCGCAATGCTGGACAGTTCTGTCTTTTTTCTCCACCTTCTACCAAATTTGGTAGTTTTTACTGTTTTAGTATGAGTAAGCTGAGCCTTTGGTATTTTTGTTTTGGATCCAGGCAGATTTTGTAGAGCAACTGTTTCGTGGGAGACTGGTAGATGAACAACTTATGTCAACAATGATAAATTCACACCATTGGCAGGTTCTTTTCTAACTCATCTTCATATGTATAGTTAAAACTGTTCTTTGAAATTTTACTATTGAGAGAACACTAAAAAGTACTACTGAAAGCTAGGAGGATATGAACATGACTGCTGATCAAGATTTTAAGTAGTTGAAGGATGTCTCTTATGATCAATGCTTGCCCAAACTTCTTTCATAGTCTTGAGACTTCATAAGAATAGCTAGATTCTTTAGATTATCAAGATCTGCAAATGTAGTTTTATACACTTGTGTTCCTGCCTCTCCCTTGTTCACTCGATCTTCAGCAGTCTCCTCTAGTTTGAATCAATGGAGAAAGACTTATGTAAGCAGTTTCTGTCGACTTTTATAGTTAAGGATTTCCGATGTAAGTTATGAAGAGCGGGATGATGTTTATGGTGAATTGGAAGCTAGAGGCTTGTCGGGTGACTCTTTAAGGAAACTACCGTGCTTTATCATGTCAAGTGAAATGGTCAAGAGGCAGGTCACTCACTGCACAATTTGTCTGCAGGTTTGTCTGCTTCTTGGTTTTACATGAATTGATTGAACTTCTCATGGCCCTTCGTTCATCTCATACATTGGCATTTACAGGACATCAAAACGGGGGAAATCACACGAAGCTTACCGAGATGTGATCATACGTTTCATCTGGTTTGTGTTGATAAATGGCTCATCAGACACGGGTCGTGCCCCATCTGCAGACAGGCCGTTAAAGATTAAAACACCACTGTTCCCGCGCTGTGTACATAGCAAAAACACATTATCCTTATATGTTGTTGTAACTTGTAAGTCTCAAAACCCTTTCTTCTGTATTTTTTCCTCATTTCATCTAGAGCAATATCACCTTCAGCCATAGGTTTCTACTTTTGAATGTATATTGTTGTACACATGAATAAGAACACCTACAGATGTATTGGAAAGAATATAGAACTTGATCAAGTCATGAACTGATACACTGTTAATTCTAATATTCCTTACGTGTCTATTGGGCAACTCTGAAACTCTTGACCGTACAACATCTATTAAAGGAAAAAAAAAAAAAAAAAAGGCCCCCGAGACTCTATTCATGTTTCAATCTTTACAGCCATGGAACAATGACGCTTGGGAACAGGGCTCTATTGATCTTGCTCTCACACAGTAAGGTTCATGGGCATACCCATTCTCAGCCTTATTCAGTACCCATGGCTTCAACCCTCCAAGGCCATGAGCCACCTCCACGAGCAAGGACCATGAACTTGTGACTACCAGCACATCAGAACAACTCAGAAGGTATATCTCAGCCCATGCTCTCTTACTTTCCATGTTCCTCGGGGTTTTTTGGTAGTCCTTGTGGCTCGGCTTGTGAACGCTGATTATCTCTCCCATCACTGTTGGGTTTTCCCAATATAAGTCCCTGATACTCTCAAAATACCCTGGAGAAGAAGATGAGATAAACACTGCCTTTGATTTTCGGTTCAGAACTTGGCTTGAAGGGAGATGTCTTTGTTTGTCAACTTCAGGAAGCAGCTTATGTCTAGTTCCACAAGCTAGAATCTGATCTATCGAATGCTGGAACTGATCATTTCCAGACTCAGAGACTCCAATATAGATTCCTATTCTTTGATCAGCCCTAGCAAGATATGCGCGATAGTATCGTGTAATGAGACCCCAGACAACATTAGTTGGGTGAAAGAGATACCGACTCAAGAAGTGAAAAGCTGTTTCTTCTTCCGGGAAGAGCTTTTGAAGTTCCTGCTTGAATGGCGAGACTGAGAAGAGAGATGGGAGAAAGAAACTATCCGCTTTTAAGATCAACCACGGGGTTTCCTCCAACAAAACTTGACTTTCCTCACAAAAGAAAAGCTTTTGTTGGTCACCGGAATCACGAACTACATGTCGATATGCAACCATCGGGTTGCCAGAATTGCGAAGAAGAGACTGCTCATTGAACAGGCTGTTGAGCGGAAACTCTAGGGGAAGAAACCAAGAAGTGTTTGGAAATGGCTCGCAGAAAAGATCAGCCATGTCAAGTCCTAGTTCGACAAGTAAAACCCTGTTTGTTAAGAGAGCATAAAGAAAAGCTGAAGCTAGACTCAGCATCCTATTCCCAAGTTCACCATTGGAGTTCAACCATATTACATATCTACAACCAGAAACTTCGCCATCAGACCGATCTCCTGACTTGAGTTTGTCAAGTGTCAAGTTATAGGATGTAGTGAATGGTCCACACCGTCTATGAAGATCCTCATATCTTTGTAATCTGTAATCCAGGTAAGAGGATTGCTTAAAAGGCGATTCCTTTCGATATAAACTCGCCTCATACCTGCTCAAGCATGATTCTTTATCAAAACTAGGCACAACATTAAAGTCGCCGAGCTGTTCCTTCTTCTCGCTAAGTCCACCATCTGATTCGATTGCCGAAAAAGCCAGAAAGCCACCAAAGAGTGTAAATAATGCAAAATTGCAGGGAAAAAACAAACTCTTTGAAGACAAAGATTATGCAACATTTGTAGCTAAAACATAGCAAAAGGGAAACACATGCATTAAGAATTTATGTTCCTAACTACAGACACCAATGAAGCATAAAATCTATCCTTATTTAACTAAACCAAGCATTATGGAGAAAGATTTACGCGGCAAAAAAGTAACTTTTGAGATAATCCACTAAATAAATGTAGTCGCAAACAAAGAGAGTGAAAATCAAATCTTTACCTTGATGCAATCTGATCTGGAGGAGAACCCTAGAGGCTGCATCAGTCTCCACAACATCATCGGAAGGTGGGTCTCTGAGCACCACCGACAGAGAGAACATAACCGAAGCAACCATAAGAACCGCCAGAAGTAGACCCATCGATTTTATCGAACTCAAACTTGGTTTCATCATCGCATTCGATTCGCTAGACCCGGTTCGAGTATCCGAGTTGGTGAGTGGGTCACCCGCATCCGAGTTCTTCTTGCCCCGCTTCATAAGGTTATAAACCGGGTCGGGTCCTAAAATGAGAATTCGGGTATGGAAGAAAGAGAGTTTGGTGAGTGAGTGAGGGACAGTGGAGGGAGATGAAGTCATCATGTGATGTGTTCGAGAGGAACAGAGAATGAGTACGTGGCAGAGACAACGACAGCTTTTTGCTACGAATTTTTTTAAAAAATTACCATTCAACTTTGTGCTAATTTTACTTAACTGTTTATATAATTAGTATAGAATTTTCTTCTTTTTTTCTATATATCAAAATCCTAATCATTCTTAGTACTATAGTTCATTAGTAACTCGAAAGAAAAACTTACAAGTTATATAAGTGTATTAGCTAAGACTTACGAGTATAATAAAAATTACAAGATTTTCTTAACACAGTCATTATGTGTGAAAAAAGTCTAAGGGGTAATGTAGTATATAACTGACGCTATGGGGGGACACGGGTCGTTCACCCAAAAAACTTTAGTGGTGATGATGTAAATGACTTTTAATTTTTGTATAAGATTGTGATTTACAGATAACATAAAATGTATATTTCATAGTAACAGACTAACAGTGCACTCCACATTATTCAATGAAATTGAAAAGGACAATTCTATATTTTGATTTTTTTTTTTAATGTACACGTGTGATTGTATATTTGTTTCTTAATTTGTCAGGTTATGTAGCCGTTAATTTTTTTAATGATCACTTTATATTCTTAAACTCTTTAACCTTTTTTTTAACCTGCTTGCTTATTTGCTTTTCGTCTAAATATTCTTCCGTCAAAACAAAAATGACGAAGGTTATCACTTATCAGTTTATAGAAAGTTAAGTTTGTCTAATTCTTTTAGTTGACGAGAGGATTAAGAATTATAAACCTTTTTTTTTTGGTCAAACCTAATAGTAATTTCCCCCAAAATATCAATATTATATATATAAGCATTCATATGTTTCGACTTCTGAGTTATCAAAGATCGTTACACACATGCATGACCAATTGTGAAATGTTCTACATAAACAAGTTGGAAACAGTTCAAAATATCGAGTGCAGATAACAATATCCCTCTCTGTCGCTCGCGATTCCATTATTCACCACGTCAATATTTTTCTCATACCTATTTGCTTCGACATTTTTGGATGAAAAATTAAAGAAATTAAACTTTGTTTTTGTATTCGATATACTAATTTAAAGAGAATATATATGTACCTCATAATATTAACTATTGGCCCATCATGCCGCTCCACATGGAACAAGCTCGACGGCAGTCCGTGAAAGGTCTCACAAGTCACCATAGCTTCGAACTTATCGTTATCTCTCTAATTTTGTCTTATTCGATTTTTAATTTAACACATGGACTTATACATTTGGGTTTTCTCCGAAATATTCAAGAATATTATGTTTACTTAATCTTTTTGTTCACTAATATTTGATCGAGATCTATTTACTTTTTGTATGATGCCATGTGTACGTGGTTTACTACGCTTTGATATTATAGGTGTTCATGGATTTTTAATGTAAAGTCAGTTACCAATATATTATAGCAGAAAATTAACAAAGAAAAAAATTATATATATGGTTTTGTTTAAGGGGAGAATGGTGGATTTCTATCTCAAAATTAATACTTTCTCTTTTCAATTTATTTGTAGTTTAACCAAAAAAAAAATTGTTGCAAAATAAATGTTGTTTTCAATTTTCTATGCAAAAATTAAATATATTTAATAGTTTTTTGATCAATTATATTTGACCACATGTTTTTTTCTTGGTTGAATTAGTTGTAGTTAATGATGATTTTATGTTAAAAAAATTAAATGAGAATTTTGTGATTTTTTTATCTGTGTGCAAAAACTTCAAAATACAAATAAATTAAAATAGAGGGAATACTAGTAATAAGTGAATTGCCATATTCTATTTATTTTAAATTATCTTCCTTTATAGTTTAAAATATTATAAACAGTTAAGTCATGAGTGTTTTAATTTGACCCCCTCCACTTTGCTGTCTCATTTAATTTCACTGACAAAGGAATTAATGGACGTAATATCTCATGCATTAATAGTGAAACGTAATAAGTTTTTTTTCTTTGAAGATCCTTACGCGTTTCGACATCAGTACATCACTGCTTGAGTGCTTGTGGCTCCTTGCAGATTTCTAACGTGGATTAAATGAAAATATCAGGAAACGATGTACATGTTATGGCCCTATGTGAGAAATTTCAACTTATTAACATCATTATTGAAAGAAACAATAACGAAACCCTTTTTCCAAACGCGTTTCTTCAAAAAATTGTAGATTAATAGCACGTGGAAATTGAAATAAACATGGATGGGAGACAAACGTGATATTTTAATTATTTTTTTCAAAGTCACCAATTTTTAGTATTTCATTTTAAGACTCCTCAACTATTCGTGTGGGAGTTTGAACGATAGATTACGCGGCCTTGAATGGGAATACGTTAAGAAAAGATTATGATTTTCATTTTAACTTTTTTTTTTTTTTTTTTTTCCATTTCATTAGACGTTTTTGCGAGTCTATAGACGTTTTTCGTGAGGCTATAATTATTTTTTCGTAGTCACCAATTTTTACTATTTCATTTTAATACTCCTCAACTATTCGTGTAGGAGTTTGAACGATAGATTACGCGGCCTTGAATGGGAATACGTTAAGAAAAGATTATGATTTTCATTTTAACTTCTTTTTTTTTTTTTTTTTTTTTTTCTTTAATTTTTTTTTTTTTCGTGAGGCTATAGACGTTTTTTTTTTCATTTTAACTTAAACGCAGTTGTTTATTGCGAGTCGAATAATGCTACCTTAATCATGGTAAATCCGAGTTTAAGTATGTGATTACGTTGTGGTAGATATGAGCATTCAAAAATTTCAGATGGGTTCGGGTCAGAAATTTAGGAAAATCGGTTTGAAAGATTTCTATCAATTAAACCAAATAAAACGTCTATAGCCTCACGCAGTTAAGGTCTAAAAACTTCTGTTTGGTTTAATTCATGTGTGAAGTGTTGATGGTTTTTGGTGATATTATTGATTCGGAACTGAACCAAAATTTAAGAACAAAATTTTAAACAAAAATAAAACAAATTTTGAAAATCTTTTGTATATTCTTCTTCAATATATTGTGCTTTCCTAAGAAAAAATTTGGTACAATCGAAAAAAATGTTTACATTGAGAAGGCAATTAGGCAAACCAAACCGAAATAGTTACCAACTTAAATCTATTTTTTTCTCGATTCTCTATATAAAAAAATACGGAATCAAACCGAATTGTATAGACAACTTTGATGCGGTTCGTTTTGGCAACTTCGTATTGGTAATAATGCCTAGACGGCTAGAACTACACTGTAGACTGAATATATTGGATCTCGGCATATAGTATTTTTGGACTAAAAATTACATAACAAAATAATTAAAGAAATCTTTTTTCTATCATTAATTTATAGATTTCAGAAAGAAAAAAAACTATAAAACGCTAAACTCGCAGCAATTTATGTGGTTATAGATGCCAATACAATTTTGTGAAAGACATATATAGTTGCATCACTCGCAGATACAAGTAAAATCAATCTAGGTGTACTTTATATTAAATAATAATTGCTGTCCCCCCCCCAAAAAAAATTATATTTGGGAGTAGAAATTATACCTTTTTTTTTTTTACAAAATCACAAGATAAGACAATTAAAATACATAGACACAACAAAAAACGACGATGGGACGTGATTGAGCTCGAACGCTTCAATTATCTAAAAACTTAAGCGTGAAATCTCTTCGCAAATAGAAATGCGCGTTTAAGAAAACGCGGATTCTCAAGAGGTGAGTGAGTGTGTGTGACCACCACACCATTTAAAGAGGTCCCCCTGAAGTGAAACCGTTGCAGGGCCCATAAAGAGATAGCAATATAAAATAGTAAGAATATCGATTTTTATCATTTTATTTAAACACATCATGATAGTAATTACGGGAATAATATTTTACATGTCCGATGTCTTTTAGACAACCTATTTTCATTTTTATTTACTAACAAATTCCTAATAAATCTAAAATGTGGACACATGGTCTTGACTCTTGTAACCTAATAACAAATTATTATATAAAATATCATATATAAATTGCGAACATATTCCGATTCTCAATGAAAAAACAAAAAATTGATATGGAGTCCAATCAACATTAGTTCCATACCATATGGATGTCGTACAAATATACACATATGTACTATGAAGTGGCTGCCTACGATATAGCCTGAATGATTCAATTCTCTGTAACTTGTGTTCTCGAGTCTAACTATAAACTCGCAATTCATCAAAATTCCGAGTGCAAACAATTTGTGAACTATTCCATGATGGATTGTGATATAATCATTTCTTTCAAAGTGGGATTGTAAAAATAAAAATTTCCCGAAAAGACATGTTCACATCAAATTAGTCAAAAGATACGGCAAAAGACATTGTGCTAGCTCAAATAAAATCTTCTGCTTAAGTTATAATATCAGTGATTATGTATTGAGGAGGGTATATATAGCAAAACGAAGAAAACGAACGTAATTGCAGATAACATCGGAACGTTTTTTTTAACAAAAAAAAAAAAAAAAAACATCGGAACGTTTTCATTTTCTTATGTCTAAAATAAGTCAGAAGATCTAAAAACCGCGGATTGGGTTATGGGATCGAGATGGGAAATCTAATACGGTATCACCACACTACCACGGCCATAATATGATGTTTTGTAGCTTTCGTAAAAGAGCAATTCATCACTTTCGGTACCATTATTAATTTTTGTCTACAGAGAAATAGACGAACAATTTTGATCACACAATAAAATACTAATAGATAATGTTAATCTCAACGTGCGTACCGGAAAATATGAGAACTAGGAACCACGTCAACACCAAAACCAAAGCTAAAAGATGCTCACAAATGAAAACTCAACATAGTGCAGTGTCTGGCAGTGATAGGGCCATTTTCCATTTTTTAATAGTAGTTTTTTTTTATATATACATTATAAAACAAAATAAAAAACAAAATTCATTCTGGGTAAATTTGTAAATGTGAATGTAATCAATTTATTTGTTGGAAATTTTTTAAAAGTTTTTATAAAATTAGACTGGGCATTATCATAAACACCTAGTGCCGTGTAACCCCCAAATAAAAAGGTTAATAAGGGCATGGGCAGTGGAGCATCTTCACGGGTGTAAGTGGTAATAAAAAAAGCAAAAAATTGTCTCTCTTTTCACACCCGGGTGTAAGTTTACACTCGGGTGTAACATTCACTCTCTCTCTCTCTCTCTTCTTTCTCTCTCTCTTTTCTCTTTTTTAGACAACTTTTGCATTAAATCAGTTTTTTTTTAATACTTACACCCCCCCAAACAAATGCCCCATTGCCCTTGGTCTAAGTACTGTATATTAATGCTGCTTTCAGTCATTTATTATTCTTGCAATTAAGGGTCCTACTATTTTGCTGTTTTTCCATAGATAATTTGCATATTTCACACTTACCAAAATACATGCTTTCTTTGCTATTAACCAAAGGGTTCACCTTTTGAACCGGCGTTGCCTCTACATTGTTCTTAATCAAGCAATTAAATATGCTACAAAATAGAAGGGACTATTATTGTAAGCCAAATGTAATATAATATTTAATCTGTTTTTTAAAGAGTGTCATTTTACATTTTTCACGCATATTAAAAAACTGTTAAAACTATATTTTTTATTCATACATTGAATAAAATTATCTCTCTTGTTAATACAATAAATAAAAGTTAAAACAGATTTTTATTCAAAATTATGCTTTAAAAAGACAAAACGACATTTTTTTGAAACAAAAACAAAACCTTAAAACGACACTCTTTGTGAAACTGTAAGAATATTTGTTTAAGGCTGTTTCTAAATTTGAAGAACTATTGAGGTGAAAATTTCTTACAACAAACAAACAAGTAACACGAACCACAAATGTGATTACTAGACCACCCATCACAGAGATGTTAGGTTTTCTACTTTTTCTTGAACCAAATGTGTAGAAAATTCAAGTGAAATGTGATTATGTCTATAAAATTGTTCATAACTTTATTTGAATTCCTCCCTCCTTTTTCTCAAACACTTTTAGAGTTGGCTGGAGAAACCATAAAAAATTAGGTAAATGGTTGGATTAAGTGAATTGTTTAAACTAAATTATAGTATATGTAGTGACGTGTTAAACAATTTGTTTAATCTAAATTATATATGGGGTTAAACTATTTTTGTAAATTAAATTAGACGTGGTGTTAAATAGTTTATCCAAGCGTAAATAACAATTTCTAGCTACACAGTATTTGTATAAGTCATTGTGGTCAATCAAAAGCTGCAAAGATGTTGTAAATACAATTTCATCTATGTTTATCTGTTTACTTCTCTTGTTCAATACAAAGCTTGAAAATGATCATTTGTATTATGTGATGAATTGTGAATACGCTATATGTGTGACTTAACTCCTTGGAATAAACATGTTGGAACCGGGCCTTGTGGCCTAGTGGTAAAGGGGTCACAGCTGTGACTTCCGCCACCAGGGTTCGAGGCACGGCCACTGGCAGGTTTACATAGGGGAATTGCCAGCCTCGTGGGATTAGTCCTTGGGCCTAGGAAGCCTTTGGGAGACCCGCGGTTATTCAAAAAAAAAAAAAATAATAAAAAAAAAAAAAAAAAATAAACATGTTGCATATATATTCCGAATAACAAAAAAAAAACGTACAAAATAAGAATCAAGATATATATGGAAAGGAAATATCACCATCGAGATATACATATCAGAATCCAACGGTTGAAATAAAATCATCAAAAAGAAAGGGACCATAAACATCCCTAATTCCTCACTCTTGAAAAGACCATTCTACTTCTATATATATATATATAAGTGTGAGTGAGAGAAAGCCTCACATAAATAAAAAGTCTCCTACTCTGAATAAAATTATTACTAACAATAATTCACTTATCTTAAGACCATCATCTGACTGACTCTACGCTGATTCATCAAGAGAAAGACTTGAATCGACCGGAGAAGAGATACGTGTCGAGATCTGATTAGCTCACCGGAGAGAACAAAACAAGAAATGGGGAGGACGACGTGGTTCGATGTTGACGGGTTGAGGAAAGGAGAGTGGACGGCGGAGGAAGACCGGAAGCTCGTGGTTTACATCAACGAACACGGTCTCGGCGAGTGGGGTTCACTGCCTAAGAAAGCCGGTACAAATCTATACTTACACCATTCTACATACAATGTGTACGGTCTATACTATGTTTATCTCTTTGGAAGCTAGGGGCTTTGAAGAAGCTAAGCTAGGATCTTTAGATTCCAGTTTCTGTCGGACCATAGATTTTGTTTTTGAGTATGTTTTATTTATTTGTTTTTTATTCTTTGGTAAAAATTATTTGGTTGGTTTTAATTTCTAGATTTATGCACAATAATCTCTTTTTTCCGACTTTAATTTTAAAAATCCATATACGTTTGTTAAAAAATATTTTTATTACAATATTCTTTTTTTTTAGCTCATGCATTACAAAGTTATGTCGTAGATGAGAATATCGTTTATTATATTCATAACCATGCAGAATCTTCTATCAGATTCTAACTATATGATGATATTATATCTAAATGCAATCTATGAAACTCATGAACGCCAAGTGTTTCCCTGGTTCCTATTTCTTTTGATTATTATATATATTTATATATTATCTTAAAGTATAAAGCTCTAGAAAATAAATTATGATCCTTATTGACCCATTTTCAGAAAGTTTATTTCATTGTGTTTTCTCCTTTTCTATTCGATGGGAAAAGAAAGTTCAATCTTTTTTTTGTAACTTCTCTGTTTGCCACCATGATAAAGTATTTGATAAAAAAAAACTTTTGATTTATATGCAATAAATAGGTCTGCAAAGATGTGGAAAGAGTTGTAGATTAAGATGGCTGAATTATTTGAGACCTGGGATTAAAAGAGGCAAATTCACCCCTCAGGAGGAAGAAGAAATCATCAAATACCATGCTCTTCTTGGAAACAGGTAAGTAATTTATTGTGATTAAATGCAAACACAACCCATCTTTGATCAATAATTTATCAATCAATAATGTCGTGTTATAGTATCATTTTAGTAATATATATGGTCCTTTTTAAAAATTGATGATTACAAGGTGGGCAGCAATAGCTAAGCAAATGCCAAGCAGAACAGACAATGACATAAAGAACCATTGGAACTCATGTCTTAAGAAAAGACTTGCTAAAAAAGGAATCGATCCAATGACCCATGAGCCAACAACAACAAGCCTCACCGTCGATGTCACCTCCTCATCAACTACGTCGTCTCCTACACCGAGCCCTACTTCTTCTTCTGTTTCCTCCTCTTCATCCACTGGCTCTGCACGTTTCCTTAACAAGCTCGCTGCTGGAATCTCGTCGAGAAAACACGGACTTGAGAGTATCAAGACAGTGATATTGTCAGAACAACCAAGAGAAGCCGTTGCTGAAGAGAAGATGGTGATAAACATGAAAGAGGAGGAATTGATTAGTTGTTTCATGGAGATTGATGAGACGCTGAGTATTGATGAACTACCTTGTTGTGATGACTCGACGTCTGGCTTCGTGGCTTTTGATGACTACTCATTAACCGATCCACACAGATACAGTGTTTACGAATCTGATTTCTATGATGAGACTGAACAGCTTGACCTGTTCCTCCTTTGAATCACATCTCTTTGTCTAATAAACCCATTTCTTTAGTGTGACGAGAGAGAGATGTCTGAGAAAAAAGCAAGTGCTTATTAGTACTTTAAATGACATGCATGGTCAATGTTGTTTTAAAGCTTTGACTGTTACTTTTTATTTTAGGTTTCTGTTCTCTCACACATGCCTATGAGCCTACATATATTTGAGGGTTTCATACCATTTTAGTGAAACAAGCCTATCGAATACTATATTCCTCCTACAGGTTTTGTCATAATGGCGTGGTTGAAACTTCATCATATGTGTGTAAGGGGTTCTAGTACGTTTCTTTTAGTTATTAAAATCATTTAAAAAAATTCAAGTATCAAAGTAAAAGAACCAGATTTTCTATAAGAAAATGATACTAGAACATATACTACTTAGTTTTTACTTTTGTGCAAGCAAATGACTTGGTTTAATTTCAAGTTTTCATACATAGATTTTTTTTTTTTTCGTTTTCGTAGATACTACACTTGGCTAATTTTTAATATTTTTTTCATAACTTACATTTGTACTCAGACATATATATGGTGTCGATGCGAATTTCAATATAAAAATGGTGAAACAATAATATCAATAGTATCAATTACTACTAAGTACTAACCTAAATGTTCTTGTCAAGTATATATACATGTTTTTTGGATTTAGTTTTGTATAGAAAATTTAATCTAAAGTTGGACCACGCAAAATATTCACTGTGACATTGTAAAAATAAAAAAAACTATGAATATTTACTAATATTGGTGCCAAAAAAATAAACTCATCACTAAAAAGTGGATGATGGACTAAAATAATGCGGAAAGTGAGTACCAAATTATTAATAAGGACGGGTCCAACATAGATTGCTAATTAATAATCGAAATTCAAGATTTTGATGTCACAGAAGCAAACATAACCAAAGTGTTAATTGACAGCTATCTAGGCTTAAACAAAAAATGTGGTCACACAGACAGAAGTCACGTATTGATCGTAAATAAATAATTTTGCTACTATTTGTGGCAATTAGTTTGTGCCAATTAGTATAGATTCTTAGTAATACTTTTAAATACTTATAGTTTTGTCATGCCAATTTTGGGAAATCTTTAAAAGTCATGTGCAAAATTTATCATCGTCTGGCTGCCTTCCGCGTCGCTGGTCCATACTTATTTTGGACTTTTTCATTATTAAGTTTACAAAATTTTCGTACGATCATTTTTTTTGACAATCCGTACGATCATTTTCTACACAGATAAAAAAATGACTTAGAGCATGATTATAGGTAGGCTCTTAATAATACTTCTTAAGAATATTTAAGTAATATTTTTTTTGTTCCATCTCTTAACATTTTTTTTTGTTCCTTAGCTAAGAAACACTTCTTAGCTTAAAAGCACTTTTGGGAATAAATATAATCAATTAAATGCTAACCTAATCTTAAAATTTTTTTAAGAGACTACCTATAATCATGCTCTTAGGTTCGAGTTAAAAACTAAATAATTTTTTTTTTAAGTCACCGACCACACTAGTTTCCACATCCAAAAAATCAAGGGAAATATTACAAAGTAGCCAAAAAAAACACATGAATTAAGGAAGTAACCATGCGTCAGAAACTTTTGGTAACTAACTCTTTTTCTTGTGGGGTAGGGGTAGGATAAATACGAAATTATCCTTGTAAGTTATAGTAATTACAAGAACTTTGTCGCTGGATATAAAAAAAAAGACAGTTTCGTGAAATTTTTGAAAATAGCATGTAACATTTAAATTTCGCATGTTATATTTAAGTAAAAGACATGATATTTTAAAAAACATAGTGAATTTTTAAGAAAAAACATTGTTACGTAGTGTTATTTTAAGAAAAAACATTGACATGGAAAATTTAATCTGAATAGTAACTTTTTAAAAAGAAATCACATGTAATCTTAAAAAAAATCGTGTATTACTAAAAAACAATCATCTTTTTAAAAAAGAAATCACATGTGATCTTAATAAAACACGCGTTTTATTACAAAATAACATGATAAAGACAGATATTCACATGTGATCTTAATAAAACACGTGTATTATTACAAAATAACATGATAAAGACAGATATTACACTAAATATAATGTTTTTTTTCGAGAAATACTATGTGTTCTTTATAAATAACATGTACTACGAGAAAAATACATGATAAAAATAGATATATTATGCTATCACATGTAATTCGAAAAAAAAGCTTGTTACAAAGGACATATACGTAATTACACAGCCATTCCGACATGTTACAGACAGGATACTGTAGCTCATGGTTAGTTTGTGAATTCTTTTTGAATTCAAGGTTAGTTTCTATAAATTCTCAAAAATCAATGAGAAGCCACATTTATATTTTTTACCAGCGAATCACAACGTTTTATTCTAGCCTAATATGTATTCCTTGTAATCAGATTCTATTTTTATAACTTTATGGTAGATAAAATAAAATAGAACACAATAGTAAAAAGTTGTAAAACAAATTTCTATTTAGATAAAGTAGAACACAGTTGTAAAAAGAAAACAAATTTCGAAAATAGATGATTCCAGAAAAGTAGAATATTTTAATCATTGCAGCTCTATTATATATAGACATTGGAAATACTCTTAAAATTATTTGCAAAAAATGAATCTTAATCATTATTCCTATTGAGAGTTTCTTGCTTCCGTGGGGTCAAAATGTTTACATGACGATAAATGATGATTAGCATTTTTTCAATAATGGAGACGATAAGTTTATTTCCTTTATATTTTCATTTTAGAGCAACTTTAACCTATTTTTACATTATGACAGACAAAAATTTAAAACTTTTCAGTTTTCTATTATTCAGAAAATAAAACTTTTCGTGTTTGCTTTTAACTTTAACTTTTGTTTTTTTTTTTGTGGTTCAGTTCAAAAGAGGTCAGTGAGTCATACAAAAATCAAATCAAAACGTTTTTTTTTCTTACCATTCTGACAAATCTCGATTCTTGTTTATCTCTGTCATTCCTTTTTCAATCTGTTCTTAGATGGGACACACTATTTCATCCATTTGGAAGATTCCTTAGCTTGCATAAGTTAATGGGCTGGGCCTGGGCCTCAATAACAAACGTAATTGGTCATGGAGCCTATGCTTCATTGCTTCTTCTGCTGCTCCTTCTTCTTCTTTTCTCTCCATTCCTTGATTTGACTCTTTATCTTGGAGTCGACGCGTGCTTTAAATCCAGAGTATGGCTCGTACCCAAAAACAGACTGCAACACCTGGTTTCATTTAATTCATTGTGATTATCACTTCCTTGGAAAGAAAGAGAAACATAAAAGAAGAAAAACATTCAAACCTCGAGCAACACGAAGAAAGGACCCATCAGAAAAGCTTGGAGTAGATTGTCTAAAAGTGCAGGAGCTCGTTTCTTGGAGTAGAATTAAGATATATGTTAATTAGTTAGGTTTCTGCAAAGGAGAATCAAAACAAATGATTTTAAACAACAAAGGAAGTTTATTACCTCAAACAAGCCGTGACCGAGGAACTGACCACTCCAACATAAGAGCTGAGAAGCTACTCCAAACTGAGAAAGCGAGTCAAAAAATGCAAAAGATATAAATATTAACAATACAAAAGAAGAAACTTCGTCTTGAACACAAGTGATGCAGACATTTAATTTGGAGGTTTTCTGATAAAAAGAATCATAAAAGGACCACATTATATCCAGACAAGTGATCATTAAAGTTCGGAGACAAGACATTGACGTTCCAACATCAACATCAGCATATATACACCAATAGGAACACCAACTAGAGAAACAAGAGTTCCACAGAAACATTAGAAACAAGATCACTTTAAGCAGAGAACACAAGAAGGCTTTCAAGTCAGAGCATGGAAGAAATTGAGCTTAAAATGCATGAGGGAACCATAAAGATGAAATCTTTTCCAATAACTGGATTAAAGGGCTCACCTTTAAGGTCAAGGAATGTCCTAATCGAGCTGCGAGGAAGCTAGAGCCAATCCAACAAGAAAAACATAACAGAGCAGCTAAAACTCCAGATTTCTTATCCAAACAGATGTAGAAGATAGCATAACTCACAGTGAGAGTTAAACCAATGTCAAAACGCAAAACACTGTCAAAAGTCAGCGATTTGAGGAAGCCTAATTGAGAGTGATCTAAAATCGGTGGCATAGAGTAGAGGAAGAGAAGGGTAGCGAAGACGTTTGGCCATACGAACAGAGTGTGGATTATAATGTCAATGGGATTGCTGTGATAAGCTCCATAGAAAGCAAAATGCTTCTCTAGATCGAACAATCCAATACGATTGCTCATGATTTTAAACTTTTCTCCAAACACTTGAGTGGGAGACTTTCTAGGGGGATCGAGGAAAGACGAAAGGAGAAGACTTTTGTGATTATTGACGTTTACTTAGCAGATGCGTCACGTAGAGTATGCTAACATGCGCCTCTGCGGTTACAAACTAATGTACGCGTTTAAGAGGTGATCGTTGACCAAGTCATAAGCACTGCGGTTGGGTTTTGATTTTGGGATAATTGAGAGCGTTTCAGTAGTTGCGATTCATTTCGTAATTTTTAATTAGAATTATCAATAGTAAAAACAATAAGAATCATGATTTTCACGTGGTTAAAAATAACAAAATTATCATGATATATTACCACCATTATTCTACCGTTGATCAGTCATCAGTCATCACTAATCAGAAGAAAAACTCTTATCCTATCCAAATAAATGAGGAGAGTGGGTACATGTGCGGATGTGCCGCCATATTCAGATCCCATCAACTAACAATATTCATTAAGAAAACCTATAAGATAATCTTATACTAATATAAGAGCAAAGTGATATGGAACTTGATGTGTTAATCGAGTGATGGCTGCATCTATCTACTTCAGATATTGTGACCCGATGCCTTCAAAATCCTGGACCATGCACGTCCTTTAATCTCGGTATAAGATTAGTATTTTAATGTTTCATCTAAAAACAAATCTTTCTGTGACCAAATATACGATCTTCTTACATTCGTATAACATCCATCATGATGTAGTTAAAGGTTTTTAAAAAGTTAAGATGTAGTACTTTTTTTTTTTTTTTTTTCCTAATGATTTTGATACATGTATATTTTAGAAATTAAGATGTTCGACACAAAATGATGGAAATTGAACCATTTTGTTTCATTTGTGACTTCTATTAAAGTTTTACATAATTTGGTTTTGGACCATCTCAGTTTTTCACCAATTGGAACTTTAATATTCAGATTATTCTTTATTAGTGGTATTAAATTCTAGAACTTATTTGGGGGAGAAAGATATTAGCTCCAAATTGCAAGAATTTTTAATTGGTCTGTTAACAACCCCAAATTTCAAGAAAATAGTCAAAACTCAAAGGAGAGTTTGTCTGTCATATTCTTCTTTGTTTAAAATTTCCTACATGACTTCCATCGCTCGATGTCTCTTGGAACTCGTAATTCACACGTGCTCTACTTCAGATTTCTTAGTAATCATAATTCACTGTTTTCAATATCATAGTACTTCCATGTAGGGATGTTAAAAGTGGGCTTCAGCCCGGTGGGTACCCGAAACCCATATAAAATAAGAAGCCCAAAGATCTACTTTCTATGTTAAAAATACTCGGGTTTTAAACGGTCTGGGTACCCAGATGAAGAGAGTCTTATATGGGTTAATCTTACTGGGTTATGGGTACCCACGGGCTTTTTTCAATTCACCTTCAGATTCTTCCTCTTCACCATCAGATTCGATTGAAACTAAAAGTTCTTCTTCTTCAATTTTTTTTCCCAAATTCGATTTTGGGTAGCTAGGTTTCGATTTTTGTTACTGGGTTTTTAATTTCTACCTCTTATAGTTTAGTTTCTGGATTTTGTTCCTGGGTTTTATTTCTGGTTCTAGCAAAAAGCCAATTAGGATATTTAGCTCTAAATGCGTTTACGTGTCTTGAATCGGATGTGTGTGTAATAATGTACTTATGTACATAGAAAGTGGGACGAGAATGTGTGTGTAGTAAGTTACGTGTGTTACCAAACTGGATTATATTTCCTTGTAGAATGTGTGTCTGTGGTGATTTTGACGCTGGGTATTGGTGTTAATTTTGCTTATATTGGTGTTAATTGTACGAGACATTTTGTGTTACTTAGTTAGATACTTAAGGCTGGATTTTGAGTAATCAAACTGGATTTTGTGGCTGAGTTAAAGATAGTAACCAAACTAAATACATGATTATATGCAAAAATACATAATATAAATACAGAAGATAAATACATGATTATATGCAAAAATACATAATATAAATACATAATTATATGCAAAATAAAAAATATAAATACATGATTATATGCAAAATAAAGAATATAAATTCATATGACATAAATGATATATTAAAAGTTAAGCATAAACTTTAAAGAGAAAAAGAAAAAATAACACGGGTACCCACGGGTAGTCTTGAAACCTATCAGGTTTTTTTCGGGTTTACCCACAATACCCAAAACCCATCCGGGTTTTTCAAATTCGGGCTTTTAGTGGGCGGGCTCATTTCGGGTTCAGGTCGGGCTGGGCTTTTTCACCCACCACAACATCCCTACTTCCATGAAATGTATTCAAATTAGGTACAGTTTCCAGAAATTGGGGATTTTGCAGAATAGACAAAAGAGTATTTGATTACATATCTTGCTTAATTTTCAAATTATTAAACAAGTCTAATTAGTCTAGTGTGCAACTTACGCCTAGTATTAATTAAAAAAAAAGATAAAAAGGCTATCGTTCAAAACTTAAAGAATGGTTCAAACATAATTTTCAACATTTAAACACACCTTTATATTCAATTATTAATGTATCCAACTATTCATAATCCATTTGTAATTTAGTACTATAGTCTACTTATGACAAAGCAAACGGTCTACTTTATAATTATATACACACAATAAAAATCAACCAAGAAATAGTGCCTTGACTTGCTCCTTGATTTTTTTGGTGTAGTAGTAGTATTTTTTTTTAGCAAGTAAAGCCACAAACAAATCAGCAAATTGTCATTGGCTTAAAGTTTCTAGAAAAGTTGCAAAAAACGAATCAGAGGGACCAAGTCTCTATGACGCGCCAACTAAGACTGAGCTGTTATATTGACGCCTTCTCCGTCACTCTTCCCCATCTCACGTCTCGCCACGTGGCCTCCGTTCTTACATCTTCCACGTGCTGTCATGTCTCCTCTCTCAGCCATATGTCTGCGCGAATCACTTCTTAATCCAACGGCTGAGATTTATTTTATGTTCCTATTTTATTTCTTTTTTTCCCTACTTGGTTTATTAATTTACGTGTAAGCTGCGTGTTTCGGACGAGTAACAACGCAAAAATTAAAAATAAACAAAATCAAAATAGACAAAAAAGATCTTTTTCGTTGGAAATACTTGGAATGAGAAAAACTTTAATATAAATCTTTTTTCCAAATTTATCACAAAATACATACTAAAAAAAAATAAAGACGCGGTCAAAATTCTCTCTCAATTATCAATATAAAGCCAATCTCATTCCCATTAGGGTTTTTAATTTTTATCATCATCACTCTCTCTGCTCCCAAAATCAGAAAAAAAGGAGCGATTTTTATTTTCCGGGGAATGAGAATTTTCTCTCGAATTTGATTATCACACAATCTTACAATTTTGTGTTTTTGATTTTGAGGATGCCAGCGACGGATTATCAAAGATCATTCGGGAGGTCATTTCTCAATTTACGGCGAGACACGGCGGTGAACTCGGTTGACTCAACGACTGTTACCGTCGAGTTGACTCAGATGGAAGCAGAGCTTGATTCATTTCAGAGAAAAGTTGCTGAGAGGTTTATCGATCTCAATGCCTCTACTTGTGAAGATCTACTGTCTCTTGAATGGGTTGGGAAGCTTCTTGATTCGTTTTTGTCTTGTCAAGAAGAGTTTCGTGCCATCGTCATCAATCATCGTTCGATGATCACTAAACCACCGACGGATCGATTGATTGCAGATTACTTCGAGAGAAGTGTTAAAGCTCTTGATGTTTGTAACGCCATTCGTGATGGTGTTGAACAGATCCGTCAATGGCAGAAACTAATCGAAATCGTAATCTGCGCTTTCAACAACAACGGTGGAGGAAGTAGTAGTAGCCAGAGACCTCTTGGAGAAGGTCAGTTTCGTCGTGCGAGGAAGACTTTGATTGAGTTAGCTATTGGTATGCTTGATGAGAAGGATTCATCTTCAAGCTCAGTGTCGTCGCAGCATCGTAACCGGTCTTTTGGAAGGAACAAGGAGCATCTTCATCACCGAACAATCGGGCATTTCAGGTCGCTTTCTTGGAGTGTTTCAAGATCATGGTCTGCTTCTAAGCAATTACAAGCTATTGGGAACAATTTAGCTACGCCTCGAGCTAGTGACATTACTGCAACTAATGGTCTTGTTGTTCCGGTCTATACGATGACTTCGATATTGTTGTTTGTGATGTGGGCACTTGTGGCAGCGATTCCTTGTCAAGACAGAGGGTTGCAAGTGCATTTCAATATTCCTAGGAATTACCAATGGGGAGGTTCATTGATGTCGTTGCACGATAGGATTATTGAGGAATCGAAGAAGCGTGAGAGGAAGAACACTTGTGGGTTGTTGAAAGAGATACATCAGTTTGAGAGGAGTTCAAGATTGATGAATGAGTTGGTTGATTCTGTTCAGTTTCCTTTGTCTGAGGAGAAAGAGATGGAAGTGAGAGAGAGGGTTGAGGAATTGGGGAAGCTTCAAGAAGCTTTGAAGAATGGTTTGGATCCGTTTGAGAGGAAAGTGAGGGAAGTGTTTCATCGGATTGTTCGAAGCAGAACAGAAGGTCTTGATACTGTTGGAAAGCATCACGGTTCTGAATGATGTTAATTCAATGGGAAACATTTTGTTTATTCTGGAGAAGTTTGTCAAGTTGTGGGTTTGTTTGTCTAAATGTGAAGATCATGGATCCAAATGTAGAGAAAGAGAACATTTTGGTAAGTCTATAAGCAAGGAGAAAGAAACTCCAATCTTTGTTGTTTATGTATTCTTATCAAAGATTGTTAATTATGAAATCGGTTCCAATTGATAAGGATCGAAACTTTAATTCCAACTTCTCTTTGCTCTATTGGTTAAATTGTCTAATTTTGATTATCGTCGACACTCTGGAAAATGTATACAAGTGAATAGAGAAAGCATCATGAATTAAAGAAAAGATACAAATTGTACGTGTTTATGAACACTACATCTGTACAAGTTTAACAAAGTTTTGAAAAAAGGCATCACTTATACAAAATCTTGAAACAATCTTGGAAGCTTGAAATCCTTGTCTGGAGACGGTTCTCCTACATAAAAAAACTAAGTACGTAGCTTCAATATGTGAGACAAGAGCAGGAATAAGAGGCCTTCATATAGAGTAAAGCAAGATGATTACATTGGGTAAGCTTTGGAGCCCAAAATAAATTTAGGCTACAACAAAACAACCCTTCATATCTCCGTTCTTAGATGCAATCACCAGGCTATAAAATCAAATGTAGGCAAGCAATAACAAAACAAAACCATGTTGAAGAATATGCCTCAGAGGTAGTGACAATTGTGATATAATTCATCACTATGAAAATCTGATGAAAACACATCAATAGATATACATCATTGGCACAAAACTAACACCATAAACAATTAAAAAAGTGCATCAGAGAGATTCCCATCTAGACATACTCATCATTATACTTCTCCAAAGGGAGAATCTGATGTCCCTGTCTTTTTATCATCACTTGCACATACACTAATCCTCTAACAAAAAAACTAGAAAAAAAATAAACAATTAAACTCGATTTCATCAACAAAGAAAAAAGGATTCAAAATGCCTCAGATTTGTTTTGTTTTCCTAGAGACTAAGCTCTCAAAGTATATTTAATACCATCACAGGCATCAAAAGAAAACCAGTAATAACACAGAAATAGCCATAACGCAAACAAAAAAACAGTGAATCTTTAAGAAGCCCTCGAATCGATTTGCAGAGATAAAAGACTAGGGTTTCAAGAGATGTGGCTCCTACTGATCTCCAAAGAATGGCGATGGCTTTAAATATATAAGCAGAGAGGCGGCGAAAATTAGGGCAAATAGAAGGAACTCAAAAGATACGACTGGGCTCGTGTGTGAATATTAATGGCCCATTAGATAAGTTAAAGGCCCATCCTAATTGTAAGAAAAAAAAGTTTGAAACATTCGAATGAATAATCAAAGTGTTAATTAAACGGAACAGCCTAATTGATTAACGAATTAAACTGTCTTCTTCCTCTGCTGTTTCCAAGTGAACATTCCCTAGATGACTGAATCACTTTGCTACTTTGCTATAAGGTAAGATTTAGAGTTTCTTGTTAGTCTTACTTTTTAAACTCAAAAGACTGATATGCTTATAACTCTTATTTTGTCATTTGATGTCACAGGCCACATGAAGTTATGAAGTATCGGCTTGGTTTTGAACTCTTTACTGTTTTGGTTATTTGGTGTTTTGTTGGATACATTACTTGGTTTTGTCTTAGACTTTTACTTTCTCTCTTAGACTGGTTTACTTTCTCTCTTAGACTTCTACATTACTTGGTTTTGTATTAGTTTCAAAGACTTTTAAATGCTTTTTGTTTTGTCCTTAGTTCATTTCATTGGAATTACAATTCTACTTCTACTTCTTCATATTAGTTCGGATTTATTTAACAGTTTCATATTGATTTCGGGTAATTTCTTATGTTTCGGGTACATATAAGCAAAGCCGAACCCGAACTCGAAGTTTGTTTCGGGTTTCGGATGACACTCACACCCGATCCGAACCCGATGGGTGTTTATCCGAACCCGACCCGATGTCTATAAATATCCGAACGGGTTTTATACTTCTACACCCGAATACCCGAAAATCCGAATCACCCGAACCGAACCCGAATGGGTACCCGAATGCCCAGGCCTATCTCAAAGAGTTTGCTTTTCTTATATTGTACAAATCAATTTCGGATTTGGAGATTCTTGTCTTTCTTGACAAGTCTATGGTTTTAGCTGTTGAATACCAAAGAACCACAAGTAGTTGAACTTAGTACCTAAAAGAATTCTTCATTCTTTTTTTTTCATCTATATTCGTAAATTGGTAAATTTGATGAGGTTTGGATATGCAGAGTGAGAAGGATTAAGCTGATGATAAAGAGGTTAGAGAGGCAAAATACATACTCAAAGAGAAGAAGTGGGATTTTGAAGAAAGCCAGAGAGTTATCCATTTTGTGTGATGTTGATATTGTTCTTCTTAAATTGAGCTGAAACATCTACTTATTGTATATACTATATAGGCCCTCAAGAATATTTTTATGAAACTGGATCATGATGTTAATATAAATGAGTTCTTCTTAGGTGCAAGGTACTTCATGATACAGGAGTTCTATGTAACCTTAAATAAACTGTTTGTCATTATTATCCCTTTGAAAACACTTGAACTGTGGTCCTTTGTTATCTTGCAGGAATCAAACTATTGAGGTAAGAATGATGAGTCAACCATCATGATTCTTCTGGATACTTCTAAGCTCTTGACTTTTGATTGCTAAAAGTATGCATTGAACATTTCATGACTAACCAAGTAGCGTTTTCTCAAGCTCAGGTTATGGAGTGTCATAGGAGACTGAGGGGAAACTTTGAAGCTTTTCAGTTTTAAGTATCGTTTTTTTCCTATATATTCTGTCTTTTCAACCGTCTTAACTTTCTCTGCTGATGATGGATACATATTAAGTCTTCTTCTGCTGTGCTCCTTTCAGTTTTTGGGCGAGCATCGAGGGAACAGAAAACATCCAGCATCTGGAGCATTTGGAAGAATCATTGAGAAAATCTATTGAAAGAGTTCACACTCACAAGGTATGTCATGGTTATATATAACTTATATGAAAATGTTAAGAGTTACTCACAAGGAATGTTTGTATTCTACTCAATTTGGTATGCAAGAAGAGAAGAAGTTAGAACCGGTTTTCGAGTTCTGATTAAACATTAGTTTTAAATAACTGTAGCAATGTACATACTACTTGTGTATATATCTACGTATGTGTGTGTGTACAGTGTACATACATGATATTCAGCAGATTTGTATATATCTTTGTGTGTCAGTGTATTATATAATACAACACTAGTTGTACTTAAAAAAAGAAGAGTTTTAATTTGATGAGCATCATGTGATGTCTCCAACTCAAAAGGCTTATTTCCACAATCAACGGTATAGATCTAAAGGAAATGAGAAAATTTGCACAATCTTCTTTAATATCCGATATCTTCTTCCACGATAATCCTATTAGAGATCCAGAAGAAGAGAACACGTGGTTTTTGTATAAATTAGACAAAGCTTTACTTGAAGAACACAGCAGAAACAGAATATATATTCTCTGTTTTTTTGTAGCAAAAGTAAATGGCGAGAAGACAAGACTCTCGAATGTTCTTGGTTTTAGCTCTTCTATATCTCATGATCTCATGGAAGCCTGTCTTAATCACTGCAAGTCTGTAATACCTCTCTCTAACCTCCTCAAGTTTTTTTGTTCTTGTTCTGTTTCTTTCTTCTTATAAATTCTTATTTATTGCAGGAACTGAGAAATCATCAACAAACCACTTTGAAACCAAGGGACAGGAATTGAATCAGATTAGCCACCTGGTAAGAATCCACTCCACACACACACTCATACAATGTGAGCAGAGATCAAAGTCTCTTCTGTATTTTGACTCTTTTTTTGGTATGAATGCTTCATGTTTTCATAGGGACGCATTGAAACTGATCCTAAGAGAAGAACAAGGACACGGAGGATGATGACCGTTGAGGATATTAACGATTATCCAGGATCCGGTGCTAACAACCGCCACACTCCTCACTGTTCTGATTGCTAATTCCATTTTCTTGTAATCTAGCTTCTATAAAATTGTAATAATCAAAAATCACTTTATATGATATGTATCAAGATTTAATAATTGAATCTTATTCTAAAAGGCTATATGAAGATATCAAATATTTGATATTATTGGGAGGTTGTTAACTTTGGTTCTTAGTAATTTTTTAGTATTATTACTAAGAACCAAAGTTAAGATTTACCTCTTTTTGGTTCTTAGGTAAGAAACTTTTCTTACTTTTCTTACCAATAATAACCATTTGCCATTTAATTAAATACTTTTTAATACTTAAGATTTACCTAAGATTCTTCTAAGAACCTATTGATAATCATGGTCTTAAGACTCAAACTTTATGAAACCCATGTCTATAAAGGTGAGACTTTTTTTTTTAATTAAAAGTCCCACCATTAACTTAGCTCAGGTTAGGTCATCCACTGATACACTAAAAGGTTTTGCTCTGCTTTTTCCCTCTATTACACTGTTTTAAATATGCCATTTCTGTTGATTTATCTTTACCACATTAATTATTGTTATTTTCGTTTTATTTGGTGGAGAGACACTGAGACAGTGGAGGGCACAACCACCTCAAACATGATAATATCTTTACTATATTATAAGGCAAATTCTCGAATTAACAGATACAACAAAAGAAGAACATAATACAGAAAAAATGCAAACATTATTTGACATGATCAAAATGAAAGACAAACGAAACTCTCCACAACATGATCACAATTTACAGAAACCGGAATCATTACATATTAAGACATTAATTCAATCAGTTAGTGTCGGGAGAAGGAGAAATAGCCGGCGCCGGAGAAGGAGCATGGGAGGTACCGTCATCAGAACGCATGAAGTCAAACCTTTTGATGAGTATATTAGCAACGAGCTCGTTAGCCTTATCGGTGGGATGATACTCGTCCCAAAACACATACTTACTTCTGTCTTTACACAATGTCGACGCCGGAATACATGTCAGCGCCGGCCGGATTCTGTAGAACGAGCAACACGGCGAATCCGAGTTGTCAAACCCTATTATCAGACAAAACATTTAAACAAGTTAATCTGATGATTAAAGCGATAAAAAGAATAGCCTTTATGAAATGAAACTATCAAACTTTGTTTATGTCAAAAAATATTTTTGTAAATTTTTGTTGAAAATGAATGATCAATTATTTTTCTAAATGAAAAATGTCATTTATGAATGCTTCTTTTGATATTATCCAAGTTTTATTATTACCGTATTTCTTAGGGTTAGTGATGACGTCGTTGACGAGGTCATAGGCTTCACCAAACCTGTAGCTTGCGTTAGGGAGCTTGGCCTCGAGATCTAGGAGCATTGTGGTCGCAGCTTTGTTGAATTTCTTAGCAAGATTACTCGCTTTGTTTTGACAATTTCCATCCAGGCTTAGAGCTCTTTGGAGTGGGATACAACCCATTGGTCCTAACCCAAACACCATTAGCTTCCTCGCTCCTAAACTATGCAACATCTACAACATTATAATATCGCAATATATGCATCAGTCACACTAACTATTTATGAAAACCATATGTAACTGGAGTGTTTTTCCTAGACTAATTAACCTTGAGTTGAGATTCAAGAGTTTCCATTAAGTAGTCGACGAAGGTTTGATCATTGTATTTCCAAGAGTCGCTATAGACAGGCATCAAGTAGTTGTTAATGAAGTCATTGCTGCCTAAAGCGACGACGTATCGAGCATCTTGGAAGAACTTGTCTGCTTCTTTTTTCCCTATCTTTGCCACAACTACATCTTGTGTCCCTTGGAATAATTCTATTTGCTTCCACAGCGAAAATCTTTGGATCTTCACATATACAATCCCCATGAAAAAGAAAAAGACATCGTTTGAGAACATTTCTTTGAGGAATCTTATATATTTATTTTGATGCAAATTAAAACTTTATTCATGAGACTTACGAAATAACCGCCAGTTTCATTCAAGATTCCACCACCTCCTGAAGCATAGTTCACTCCATTTTCAAGTATTACATCTTCATTCATTGATGGATCCAAGAAGGCTACTGGTCTTGGCAATCCAATTTTATCACCTTAAAATTTAAACAAAACCATTATACGCTTGTACTAAAACGTAATTCACATGATATATCATGATATCATTGACTAATTAGTAATTTCATACACATGACTTACCTATAATGTCTGAAACAGTGCGACCATTAGTGAACCTTCCATTAGGCAAACCATTGCCAAAATCAATACCGTAAAAGGGCAGATTCGCTGTCGCTAAACTCCTCGGTAGATTCTTATTGTTACCTACATCAGACAATGAATCTCCAAATATAAACTGGACTATCTTGCAATCGTAGCCGTTGATTGCAAGAATGATGAACAACAAGAATATCGCGCAGAACTTCATGTCGCCAAATATGAATGTGTGTTGATTGAAAAAGATTTGTTTGGGTGGTTTTTAAAAGGGTTTTGGAGGTGAAAAATATGGACTAAGTAAGAAAGGTGGAGGAGTAGTGTGAGAATAAAGTGGTGAAGGTAGATTTTGAGTTGATGAACCAACTGATTTTGTTTTGTTTTTTTAAAATTTGAATTATTGTTTTTGTTTTTTTATTTGATTCAAACCTACTTCAACTACTCTTTCCTCGTGTTGGTGTCGTAAGTTGTAACCGTTTCCTGTCCGTAAACTTGAAATTTTGTTATTTTAGGGAAAGATTAAAACATTGCGGTTTATGAGCTCATATATAGAGTCAAACCAAAAATAAACTTTACCATATTACGGAAGATTTCCTTGTAGTGAATTAAATAAACTTAAACATCTATCAAACACTTCTTGTGATTTTCCTCCTACATGTATTCTTCACTTGCTATTTCGTTACTTTGGCTTCTCTTACTAAAAGTATCAATAAAATCATTATGTTAATTGAAAAAACACTATTCAGGCCCAAACAAAAAAAAATATTAAAGAGGAAAGATTGGTTTTTTTTTTCTAAAATTTGCATGCTCGTTTGTCGTTTGTAATTTGATTTTTCTCATGAGCTAAGATTGGATAAAATATGTTTAATCATGGGCCAATATCAAGCCCAATGGACCAAAGGTGAATTACTTCGGGCTGGAAGAAATTCAGATAATTGAGTGGGTATTCTGGTAAATAACCACCGAAAGTGACTGTTTGAGAGGTTTGAGCCTTTGGAGTTTGGACAATGAAGTGCAGTTTGTTAGTGTAGTTGAGGCTTTTTCTGACTGAAACAGAGTAACGTGTCTAAAACAGAGGTAATCAATATTTTGATCAAAATGTGTTTTGAAATCCAGACTAACCCGGCCGGTTATACTGGTAATCCGCAATTTGGACACTAATCCGGTCTGATTATAACTATAAGCCAGTTTTTTTGACCCACTTAAACCCGATCTAGCTGGTTTAGCGGATCAAATTAATTTTGGTTGAAAACTTCTTCTATTTTTTATTTTTTTACAGTATAAAAGTAGTTAATAAAGTAATAAACTGAAATATCCTTTGGTCATTACAATAACACACTGATTCACTGAACTATCCATTGAACCATTTTTGTGTGAACCAGAAATTCTACGGATGTTTTGTGCCCATAAAATAAAATCAAAAGACAACAAAATAGTTACATAACTAACCAACGTGGCCAAAAATCAGCCGTTTGCTACACCAAATGGGCGCCACAGATAAATAAATTCCCAAACCCGTAACTTTATCCTCATCTCATCACCACCGTCCATTTCTCAATCCAACGGTAAACATCCCTCGGAAATCTCCAACAATATCTAATCCTCAAAAACAAAACCACATTTAATCAAAAGAAAATTTTCACAAACTCAAACAGAGAGAGACTCCTCCATTGTTGAAGTGTGTTCACTGAACCCCTCCTCAAGCTTTTTCTTCAAAAAACAATGGCGACGACGGTTACACTCAAATCCTTCACCGGACTTCGTCAATCATCAACGGAGCAAACCAACTTCGTCTCCCATGTACCGTCGTCACTTTCTCTCCCCCAGCGACGGAGCTCTCTCCGAGTAACCGCATCCAGAGCCACTCCCAAACTCTCCAACCGTAAACTCCGCGTCGCCGTCATCGGTGGTGGTCCGGCAGGCGGAGCAGCTGCAGAGACTCTAGCTCAAGGAGGAATCGAGACGATTCTCATCGAGCGTAAGATGGACAATTGCAAGCCTTGCGGTGGCGCGATTCCTCTCTGTATGGTCGGAGAATTCAATTTACCGTTGGATATTATTGACCGGAGAGTGACGAAGATGAAGATGATTTCTCCGTCGAACATCGCTGTTGACATTGGCCGTACGCTTAAGGAGCATGAGTATATAGGTATGGTGAGAAGAGAAGTGCTTGATGCGTATCTGAGAGAGAGAGCTGAGAAGAGTGGAGCCACCGTGATTAACGGTCTCTTCCTTAAGATGGATCATCCGGAGAATTGGGACTCGCCGTACACTTTGCATTACACTGAGTACGATGGTAAAACTGGAGCTACAGGGACGAAGAAGACAATGGAGGTTGATGCTGTCATTGGAGCTGATGGAGCTAACTCTAGGGTTGCTAAATCTATTGATGCTGGTGATTACGACTACGCAATTGCATTTCAGGTCAGATTCTTTACTCTTTACGAGTTTGATTTGTTCTGTAGTTGATGGAATTGGAGTTGTTTTGGATTTGAGAATGGTGTTATTATGGAGTTGAGTTGTGAGATTTGGAATTTTGCAGGAGAGAATTAGGATTCCTGATGAGAAAATGACTTACTATGAGGATCTAGCTGAGATGTATGTTGGAGATGATGTGTCGCCGGATTTCTATGGTTGGGTGTTCCCTAAGTGCGACCATGTAGCTGTTGGAACAGGTACTGTGACGCACAAAGGTGACATCAAGAAGTTCCAGCTCGCGACCAGAAACAGAGCCAAAGACAAGATTTTGGGTGGTAAGATCATCCGGGTGGAGGCTCACCCGATTCCCGAACACCCGAGACCACGTAGGCTCTCGAAACGTGTTGCTCTTGTAGGTGATGCTGCAGGGTATGTGACTAAATGCTCTGGTGAAGGGATTTACTTTGCTGCTAAGAGTGGAAGAATGTGTGCTGAAGCCATTGTTGAAGGTTCACAGAATGGTAAGTGAAAAAAAAGATTGCTTTTTTCGGATTTTTGTGTGTTTAAGTTTTAGTGAATCCTAAAGTCTTGAGTGTTTTTGTTGCAACAGGTAAGAAGATGATTGACGAAGGGGACTTGAGAAAATACTTGGAGAAATGGGATAAGACATACTTGCCTACGTACAGGGTGCTTGATGTGTTACAGAAAGTGTTTTACAGATCGAATCCGGCAAGAGAAGCGTTTGTGGAGATGTGTGCTGATGAGTATGTTCAAAAGATGACATTCGATAGCTATCTGTACAAGCGGGTTGCACCGGGTAGTCCTTTGGAGGATATCAAGTTGGCAGTGAACACCATTGGAAGTTTGGTTAGGGCTAATGCTCTAAGGAGAGAGATTGAGAAGCTTAGTGTTTAAGAAACAAGTATGGGGACTTTCCTTTCTTCATCTCTATCTCTCTTTTTTGTTTGTTAGTAAACTATCTACACTAATGTTGTTGCTCTTCAATGTATTCAGTATCATATTTATGTTTTCTGTTCATTGAATTAGTCAAAAAAGCATTTGGCTTTACAATCCAATCCCCCACTAAAAAGTAAAAACAGATTTCACAAACCACTACTAAACTCACTTGAGAACCCACACAAGAGATACTTCACTTCTTCATCACTCTCGATTCCTGCTTCATCAACCGACTCATCACTAGGGACTGATCCGCTGCTTGAACACGAGGGTACTTGAAACTGATCGGACTTGAGACTTCTCTTCTTCTTCCTCTTGTGGTTAGCCTTGAAACAAGCTTGTCTTAGCCTCTTTGTCTTGTCCTTGAACTCCAAATCCGGTAACTCCTCAATCGTCCTTTTCTCCTTCTCAAGCATCTCCAACGCGTCCTGCAACTTTTCGGCATTCTCTTCGCCTTCCATCTTCTGCAGCGCCTATTCATATGATTGAAAATACATTTTGAGTTCACCAATCTGAAAACGATATTATTAAGTGTAGTGCCTTGTTCTACATACCTTGACATTACTGATCAAAGTGTTAAGGCTCATGAGTTTACGATGAGGCCATCGGCGAATACCCAATTCACGACATCTCCTTTTCAGAAGAGTTAAACCAACGTTAAGTTCCATTGCAGCCTGAGTTATGGGCATGTAGAAGTAGCGAGAGACAGTTTCCTTCGATAATGCTGTTGATGCTGCACTAGTTGTGTAGCTAGTAATATCGCTGATGATTCTCACGCTATGTTCTCTGTGTCTCTCATTGATTTTCCTCTTCTTAGTCGTCTCTTTCACTGTTCCATTTTCCATCTTCTTCTCCGATGAAGCACCATCTCCTCTGTTTTGCTCTGTTTCGTTCCATGATACAGAACTGTATGAATTGAGTACATCTACAGAACAAAGCACGACCCATGAAACCTCTATACATACATATATATATATGACAAATATAAACTATGTAACTATATGTTATACCTTCAGACAAGGGTTCAAGATCAGGTAAAGGCAGAGAAGTTGTAGTCAAAGGAAAACCTTGAGAGGCAGAGTTTTCTTGGAGAGCAAGAAGATCTTCTTCCCAGTCAAATAAAGGATAACTTAAGGAGCTGCATGCGTTTGCAAAAAACAGAGATATTAAATTATGAGAAAACAAAAACTAGTAACAAAGTAAAACTAAACAAAAGCTTCTGAAATTGACCTGTGATCAAAGGAAGGTGAATGAGCTAGGAATGAGAATGGCTTCTCTTCTTTGGTTTTGTGATCAGCCATTGTAGAGAAAGTGAGAGAGATAAGTTTGTGTTGTGACAATCGATGATGGAGAAAAGATTTATATATACATTCAGTGGAGAGAGTAGTAGTAAGATATGGAGAGAGAATAAAGAATGGAAGTGATGATGAATCTATTAGGGGAAGTGGGGTATTGACGGCTAATTGATTGTCCTGTTAAATTTGGAGTTACGAGAAGATATGATTAATGTTAATTAGTGGGTAATTTATAGGGGCGTTTAGGTTTGGATTAGACTTCTCTTTTCGTCTCTCCTTCCATGCATATATGACATGCAATCATTTCGAGTAAATAGTGTACTCTATGTACATCAGTACATGTTCTTATATATACGCATACATAGTATATACACATAAGAACAATGATCATGATTATGTATAATTAGTAAACCACTAACTGAATAATATCTGCTCAATTAAGATATAAAATGTAACGTATGGTTAAAACTTTATAATAGATCATGGGTCATGAATTCTCTTTTTTCATAATTAATCATAAGTTATTAATGAAGTAACAAAAAAAGGTTTATACTCCATTTTCATTTTTAGTCCTTAGGGTGTCTGAGAAACCGTTTTGAAGACATAGAAGCAGAGTTAGTATAAGCAAAACCTTTGCTTCTACTCTTTCTATGTCTTGGAATCGGAACTTTCTCAAGAAGAGATAGGACCTCAATCATGGATGGTCTAACCTTAACCTCTCCGATACATTGTAAAGCCAAGAAAGACATCATAAATGCTGCTTTCTTAGGGTATTGACCCACAAGCTTTGTGTCCATTATCCTAAACACTTTTCGCTTGTCTCGCAAGTAAGGTGTTGCCCATTCCACTAGGCTTTCTTCTTCCCGTGCTTTGGATTTGTCTATGACTCGACGTCCAGAGAGAATCTCTAGCAACACTACACCGAAGCTGTAGACATCACATTTCGTTGTTAGATGACCTGACAGAAAACAGAAAAAAAAAAGTCCAATGTTTTAGAAAATTTTCATGTTGTGTGTAATTGAAATTGAATTAAATGAGCCATTAAAGAAAGAGAAACCTGTTGCTAGATATTCTGGAGCTGCGTAACCTTCGGTACCCATGACTTCAGTTGTCACATGTGAACGGTTGTCTTTTGGACCTTCTTTGGCTAATCCAAAGTCTGAGAGTTTGGCGTTGAATTCTGAATCGAGAAGGATATTTGCTGCTTTGAAGTCTCTGTAAATGACTTGGTCATTAGCTTCATGCAAAAAACATAGTCCTCGAGCAGCACCAATCGCGACTTTCATACGCAGTGACCAAGAAAGCACATTGGAACCCCCTAGAATAAGCAGGATTCAGATCATGAGAAATCCAGATAGAAGAAACAGTTACACAAGAGTTTTGGATTTAAAAAAGAGTTTCTTTACTTACTTTCAAACAAATGATTTTCAAGACTACCATTAGGCATATGCTCGTAAACCAAAAGGCGGTGTTCGTTTTCCAAGGAGTATCCAATCAGTTTCACTAGATTCGGATGATGCAATCTTCCAAGATAATTCACTTCCCTCTTTAGAGAAAACCATACACACATGTACAGATTTCAATAGAGTAGAGTCTCTCAAGGTGAAATCATAATAAAATAATTCAAAGGGAAGCTTACCAGCCACTCCTTATGTCCCTGAAGCCCTCCAGTTTTAAGCTTCTTCACAGCAACCGAAAGTTCGATTCCAGGTCCACCATTAACACAGCCCTTGTGAACAAACCCGAAACCTCCTTCCCCAATTAGACTTTCTGGACAGAAGTTTCCTGTAGCATTCTTTAGCTCATCTAAGGTAAAGGACTTCAAATATTGAGAATGCATTATGTCTCCTTCTCCGCGCGGTGCAGGCAGAGTGATGTTAGCTTCACATTTTCTTGCAATCAGAGGTTTTAAACTCCATGGATATGACAGATTCGAGCTTCTTCCAGTATCACTATCAGCTCCTGGACAAGAACAATGCCACATTCTTACATCAAAATGAGAATGGATAAACAGAACTATCAACAGCAATGTTACTAACTTTCAGAACAGGGCAATTGAGTTCTCTCTGCTACTTTCATCATTAGAGATAAATCGAATAACTACATAAACCATCTCCTAAAAAACTTTCTTAGATTCATCCAGCAACGCATTAACATTCAGAGAATCCAGGAAAATGTGCAAAAGGACAAGTTATGTTCAACAATTCCAGTAATAATTCAGTCAAAAGTAACCAGAAACAGAGAGGTAGATCAAAGAATGAGAAGAGCTTACGTGAAAAGGGTTTGGAGTTCACTGAAGAGTCAACATTATCGTCCTCATTATCATTTATCTTTGAGCAAGATCCAAAGCAATTCCCCATTCAATCCTATATAAAGGTCTAATCATCCAAAAACCAAAACCCTGGAGACAAATAATGGGAAACAAACAGTAATAAAAACGCTATGGATCGATCTTTATCACCGCCTCCGTCATCGACATTCTTCCTCCGGTGAAAGGAAGAACGTGGAAACGAGAGTGGTGATGCTCAAAATGTGTTTGGATTTGAAATTAATGCAGAGGTTTGGAATTGAGAGATTAGAGAAGCAAAGAGAGAAAGGGGTTGGAATTGTAAAAATTTGGAAAAACTATAATTAGAGAGAATTTGGAGAAAAGAGTTTCCGTGTTGTATTAACTTCCTGTCAGAGTCACCCTATTAATTACCAATTGACTCATTTACGTCACGTGCATCTCTCGTGTCCCCCACACTCTCCCCATGAATTTTCCTTTTTTTTTTTTTTTTTTTTTTTTTAAAGTTATAAATTTACTAGCTGACTTTTTAAAAAAAATATACTAGTACATGATTTTTTTTGTTATTTCTTATTGATTCTTAAAAATTTCAAATGATCGTATTGTTTATGATAAATGATTATAGCTATGATGAATCTAAATAAATAGAGAACAATCGGTTACCATTTAATATACACGATTATAGTGGACATGATCTTTAATATAATATGTGAGTTTTCTTAAACTCTGAGAAAATGACTATGAATTTTTTAGTGGAAATTATCTATTTTCTGTTAATGTCATAATCTATAGATATTATTATCGCATATGTAGTTATTTTTTTTTCATTTCTTGAATATGACAAAAAATTCAGTGTGGATAAAGATATGTAGAAATAGTAGTTTGTCCTAATATCGTTATTGTATTATATTATGTACTAGATCATCACCCGTACTACAGTACGGGTTAAATTTTATTTATTACAAAATTTATATATTATATATTTTAGAATAAAGTTGTGATATATTATAATAGTAATTGAAAAAATATAATTAGATTTTTGTCAGTCCCTATATATAATATTAGAATGAATATCTTTTTTTTTTAATTATACTCAATTATGGATTTTTTTTAAAGATATGAAAACAGAAAATAAAATTATTTTAATAAATTACTCCCTCCGTTTCGTTTTAGTTGTCGTTTAAGGTTTTTTCACACAAATTAAGAAAAGCATTAAATTTTCTGTTTTACCCTTTATTAATATATTTTATAAAAAATTTTATTGGCCAAAACATTAAAACAGTAGGGATAAAACTGGAATTTTCACCAAACATTTGCATTGAAAACCTAAAACGACAACTATTATGAAACAAAATTTAAATCCTAAAACGACAACTAAACTGAAACGGAGGGAGTAATATAGTCTGAAAAATGAGTAAATTTATATTAACAACCACAAAATGAGATTGCATATAATTCAGTTAGATCAAAAATCAAAATATTATAAATGAATCGCTTCTAAAACGTAGATTATTTTTAATTAATTATGATAGTTAGCTATTATTTTGAATTAATTTAGGAAATTCTTTTTTCAATTTCTAATTCTTTGGTTGTTGAAATAGAGATTTGTTTGAGGTAACTACGGAATTTATCAATTATTCGCGTAATCGAATATGTTATGAACATATATTTAGTATATAATATACCAAATTCAACCCGTGCGTGGAGTCTATATTTTTATTTTAGAATCCTAATGAAAATATTGCGTGCACAATCTATTATTCGTTATTTCCAAAATTGCTTGCACAATCAAATTTTCAAATATTTAGAGGTGTCAACCTTATTTAATCTATCTGATCATATAATCTTAACATGCCTTCTATTATAAGGATCATAATTTTATATCATATAATATATTACATGTAACCCTCCGCCTACTATAACTATTTTAAATATATCTTTTTAGAAAATTATAGTATTTATAATTTTTTTTATCTTTTTAATCTATTAAATATTTATGAATTATGATATTCATTAAAATATTAAATTAAACTATTTTTAAATGTTCCAATTAAAATCTTTAAAAATATTTCTTTTAGTATATAAAATTATGAATTTCAAAAAAGAATTATATGAAATTAAATAGAAATATTCAAACAATTATAAGGATCATAACTCATTTGTTAATATAATATACTATATTTAACCCACTGCCTATTATAAATATTTGTTTACAAAAATCAAATTAGAATATTTATTGATGATATTCTTTAAATATTGATGATATTCTTGAAAAATATCAAGTAAAACTAATTTTATATGTTGCAAATTAAAATGTTTAAAAATCTTATTATAGTATATAAAATAATACATTTCAAAAAATAAATGTATGAAATTGAATATAAATATTCAAATTCTGACCCGTTACTCAGTCTAAATTTTTGTTGAACTTATTTTTGGTTAAAAGAAATATATTACTCAAATGTGAATTTTTGACCCGTTAAATTTTTTCTTCATAGATTTTACAATTTAATTTCGTTTTTAAAAATTCAAATCTTGGCATATGGAGAAAAAAATTACTTTTTTTTGTTTATATGGATGATATGATGATTTATTTGTTTCATAAAAATAGAATCATATAAAGATGAGAGGTGAACTATAATGATTAATAACAAATTAATATGGTAAGTTAGATATCAAATCTTATATGTTCATTTTGATTGGTCATTCTTTTTTTAAAATTAATAATATATTTTCGTTTTTAATAATTAAATTAATTAAATTGCATAAATTAGTATTTGACTTGTTTATCCTTAATGAGCTGAATTAATTTACTCTTTAAATTTTTATCTCTAATGGCATTCTTAAGTAATTTTTTATAAATGAGAAGGTTAGTTAAGGGTATCTTATAAAGTGTACTCCCCAAATAATAGTATAGGATTATCCGGATTTAAATCCATAATGTATGTTGTTACAAAATATATTCATTGAAGATTCACCATATAAAAATGTAAGTGTTTAGACTCGGTGCTATTTCAATCATCATTGACGAAACCATTAGTTTTGGTTGGGTTTTGCGGCACGAGATCTCGTTATTATAAGAAGGGAAAGCAAAAATCTCTCAAATAAGTTTGGTGGGAAGAAAATAAAATTTTCAAATTAAAAATAAAAAGTGACAAAAATCGAAATTAGGTTATGGCATAAAATTTGCAGCTTTTTGTGCTTCTTTTGAGTGCATAACGTCAAGTTCACCCCATACTTTATTGCCCATAAACATAATCTTCCAATTCCTTCAATGTTAATATATATACGGAAATGACAGTTTCATCGATGGCTCGGTCTCCAAATAATTAATTATTTTATAATATATCCACCCATTTAGTAATAATCAACTTGAATTTTGTATTCTTCTTTTGACGACATTTTGAAAGACCATAAATTAATTCATAATATGATTTCTTGGATGATTTGGGAAACCATCTTCTTAGGCTTATAAGGTTTTTCTTATCTCAAGATCCACACAAAAATTAACATGAAATTCCTAAATGGCATGTTTTAAATTACAAATTCGTTGTTCTTCACATGTTTTAAATTACTAAAAAAACACAAAACCAATAAAAGCTTGGAAAATGAACATCGCCAAGTCTTTGGTGAACAAAACCCTAACCGAATGTATATTAGAAAAAGGAGACAAACAAGATAACCGAAAAAGGGCAAAGGTTTTATATTGGAAACAAGCGAATATTTATGACCAAAGCAGAAGTGACGAACTCGTATCATTCAACGTTTATAAGGTCATCATCTATAGAAAAATCAAATCCGCAAACTATTATTATTATTATTATTATTATTATAGTAAACAAAAAAAAAAAAAGAAGAAAAAGATAGGAATTATTGGGTAAGTAAGCTTCTGATTAAAGCAGCTTGTGCAGTGTCTGTGTTTGCAAGTAACTCAGATAGCCTCTCACTTAGATCATCAACCTCTCTATGCAGATTCCTTATGTAGTTGCACGTATCTTGTAACACCCTCGCTGCTGAAACCTGTCGATATATAAGATATCATTATTTTTCATGCCATATATACACATCTATATTACATAAGTAGTTGAGTTAGTTAGATTTAGCGTACCTTGTCAGAACGACGACTGTCCCTGAGCTCAGGAAGAAGCTGTTGCAACTTGATAATGAGATCATTGATTTGATCTTCTGAGATCCTTGAAGTTCCTGATGATTGCCTCGAACGTGATCTTCTTCCCGACATTTTTTTTTTGTTGAATTATTATTCGACAAGTAGTAAGAGTACTGATAGAGATTAGTAGCAAAGGCACTTTAATTTATCGATGAAACAGGATATGGAGTTCAGGGTAACACACAAGTTATGCCGGAAAAGGAAGAGAGAGGGAGAGAAGAGTTGATAGTATGAAGGAAACAAGTGAAGCGACGGTTGTATTTATGTAGGCATTTTATTATTTGTTTATGAACATTATAATAAAATTATCTTCTTATTTTAATTTGAACAATATAATGCGAATCTTATTTTTCAAATATTGAATTATATATTATATGCCCCCCTCTCCTGACAACTTTTGTTATAATAAAACGATTTCAGAGAATCTCGTATTTTAATTTTTAAATATATACATAGATCTAAATTTGATAGGTATAATATTAACGTTGAATCTAGACAAAACTTGTTTGAAAAATTACCCTATATCGTAAATTTTATTGATATGTTTCGAGCTTTGAATTTGACACTCGCATTACGGTTCATATGTTAGATTTCTAAAGGTGTGTTTCAAATTCTCATTACCTTTTTTTTGTTATCAACAAAATTCTTAGTATTACCTAAAACAGTTTATTTATCTCAAACTTCGTTTTATTCTTATTTCTGTATAGTACGAAAAAAAAAAATGTAAGCTAGTGAAAATTAATATTCTTATATTTTATTTTATGCGAAAAGGCATGGACGTCATGTAACAGAAAATAAACATTTGTATATATTGAAAGGTTATAAAGATGCATGGTAGAGTATTGTTTTACTTACTTCTGTGGTGACTGGTGTGAGTAACTGATCAATGTTAAACTAAAGAAGATATTGAACTGATTTTTAGTGCGTTTATCAAGGAAGAAAGTTTTATACTTTATAACTAAAATAAGCCCATCCATTCCTCGAAACACAACTTCTATTAAGATACAAAATTCACATTATCGATGTGTGGGATTTCGCTCTACGCCTCTACCACGTCCACACATATACCTTTTTCAAAGGTTTTAATACTACAACTTACTAATCTAT